CCACAACTTTGCAATTAAAATACATTTGTTTTAAAGCGACTTACCAAATTATAAGTCTTTACTGGTCAATGTTCAATCAACAACTGTCAACTGTTGGTCGTTACTTCTAGTTTTTATGTCGACTATTTTCGCGCGTAAATAATTACTCCGAAAATGACAAATCACCATTTTGAAGTTAAATCAAATCAGCAACGGTGGCACTTGAAAACAGTTATGTTATGACTCAAATATAATAAAATATTGGTATATTAAATGTAAAGATGCTAACAGTAGTTATGTGTGGTCCCAACATAGAATGAACCACCCATTTCATTCCCATTGGTGTCGTATGAAGAGACTAAGAGAACTTAATGGTCGATTGATAGACATCAGCGTCGCTCTTAAAATATAACCAAAATCCTAACTTCGATTGCCAACTCACCTGCCAAGCGCAGCAGTTACTAGCAAATCCCTCCTTAAGGGAGACCTATGTTCAGCAGTGGTCAATTAACGGCTATTACGATGATGATGATGATTTAAGTCTTATATATAGTAATATAAATATATTCTAAATGACTAAAATTTCAACTCATAATGTTATCCTTATTTCAATTATTGTAAAATACTCTAATAATTTCAAAATTAAAATGTTCCAGCTCAATGATTTTGTACTTTATTATTAAATGCCTACAACTTTAATTAAAAATCTATTTTTACACTCGGATAGGTGATATTCTACCTCCGATAATATTATTGCGACGAGTAAAATGTACTGTTATGCCGGGAAAATGTTATATTCCAAGTTTGATAATTTAATTATATTTTACCATTAAAATAATATCATTATTCAATCTAGTGGCGAGACTGCCAAGTCTCGTCTCTCAAGACTTTCAATAATTCAATTACATTACAAAATAATATATTGTAAAATTGAATATTTTCGATAGAATACGGTCTTATCGACTGTAAAGGATTTCTACGAGTCAATGAACTTTGAAGAAGGTATTTCCATTTTTGACAATTTCCAGATAATTTCGAAATTGCCACAGTTTGATAAACTTTAGATATTAACACTATAAAGGGCGCAAACATATCGTAAATACAAAATTATCTTTAGTAAAACCTATAAATTATGCTTAAATAAATATACTGTAAGGCAACCGAAAAAATCTAAAAAGTTTTATAACTTTCATTTTGTCGTTATTACATAATAATAAATAGATATTTTATTATAGCAAAGTTTGGTATTGATATCTACGTAGTTCTAAAATAAATCAACCAATTAGGAAATATTAAATATATCATCCATTTCACTTTTACAAGAGTCCCAATTCAGTAAACATCGCCTAACAACGCATCGCCAAGCGAAATGTGTATCGGGAGCGAAAAATCTGAATGGAAAATCAGTATATTCCGTAACAAAAGAACTCAGAGGTTGGAACTCGTTATAATGCGATATAATTTCCCCCGGGATCGTCCTCTTTTCACGCGAGACTTCGGCAAGTACGGGTTCGTGATTGGCAGCTTATTAGAAGCTATAAAAGTTATGACCTCATATATTGAGTTTCATGCGACATTTGGTTATTTTATTGGGTACTGAAAGTACTGAGATTATTCCTAATAATACTGTCAAGTAAAAGAATATTATGTATTAAAAGTAACAAAGGAAAACATTATGTCAGGGCATTTACTTGGTGTCTGTATTACCTAGATATGTTATATAAAACAGCTGTTTCAAATTGGCTATCAGTTTTTAAGATACTTAACAATTAAGTTACTGGGTATATAGATAACACTAGAATCTTCAAATATGGTAACTCGTGAAGAGTCCTATAAGCTACAGTTACCGTTTTCCATCAAGTGAGTCGTTAATTTATTTGCAATTTCAAGGCGTTTAAAAAATATATGCTCTTAATTCTAATAGCACGAGCTCTATTTAGTTTGGAACTAGATAGCTGTATAATCTAAAGAACCGATCAAATTGATTCACACTTCTTTCATATGTAGATCTTTTTATTATTCATGTATTCCAAGAAGTCTCCATTTCGCGTATCTACACAATTGAGTCCAACCAGAAAGTTCCTATATGAATCTTCAAATATTTATTTCTATGTAGCATTACGTATGTACGACTGTGATATTAATTTAACAACTTTTATTATTTGTCTGGACTTGGAATTCTGTTTTAAGACTAGCTTTGCTCCCGATGTCATGCGTACGGCGATTTTTCGTATTTATCAATGAGAATGAGATATTTTACCACGGTAATAAGTATATATATGTAGGATATATGTCATTTTAGATACTAAGTTATCACACTATACCAAATTTCATCATCCATAGATACAGTTCAGTGGCAGTTTATTATGTAGTACAAGTATAGACTTCATCGCTTTAAATATATCTCTATTTAAACCGAAAAAGAGTGTGAGCACAGCTATATGAATATATTGTGAGAAAAACAAGAGTGAAACAGTGGTATAGCATCATATAGATGAAAGAGATGAGAGATTTAAGCCATTTTTAAAAACAAGCTTTAAAAGCCTTTAGTCTCCATCATCAGGGTTTAAGCACCACACAGATTTACAATTTTTGTCAATACAGATCCAACGAACATGGGTTCGTTGGATTTTTTTGTGTATGGACACAAAAAAATTATTTTACGTAATTTACAAATTCCTATGGTCGCCTTTCGTCCTTCTTCGTTATATTGTCACCCAACTTACATAGTAGATACTTTAAGTGCAAAATTTTAGCACATTCGGTTGCTAGCAAGTAGTTATAAAATAGAAAATGTTGAACAAAAGCGCTAAATACTCAAGCGCTAAGTCCTCAATTGTTATTAAACTTTCTCTCTCTCTCTTTCAACCTCGACCTATTCTGTTAAAATATGAATATCATCATGTTTGCCCTATCAAAGGGTCTTAATGTGCTCATCGATCAATCTCTTCAACACTGAGATAAATTACTGCTTCACCTCACATTTTAATATAAATGGGTCTCTTTATGAGATAATTTAGGAGTACGACTCTAAAATTATTACACATAAATATTAATTAAATAATTATAGTAACATACGAGGTTTGTCCGGAAAGTACGTATAAAAGTTTTTTAAAAATTTTATTTTACAATTATTCAGGTAAATCAATTTTATCCCCTTCAAAGTACTCCCCCTGTGACATAATGCACTTGTGCCAACGCCGTTTCCACTGTGAGAAGGCTCCTTGAAAGTCCTCTGGTTGTAGGTTTCTCAGCTGCCCCGTCGTAGCTTTTTTTATCTCATTTATGTCCCCCAAATGCCGCCCCCGAAAATACCAATTTGGTTTTTGGGAACAAGAAGAAGTCACACGGGGCCAAATCCGGCGAATAAGGGGGGTGTTCGGTCACCGTAATGGAATTTTTACTCAAAAACTCACGGAACGATCTTGGCGCAAATTTTTTTCATTTGAAGTTCTTTTCTTAGAATTTCGTGGACCACGGTTTTGCCCAAATTAAGCTCTTCAGCCACCTGTCTGACCGTTAAACGACGGTCCCCATTAACACAAGTTCGAATTCTTTCCACGTTTTCGTCGGAATGTGAAGTGGAAGGACGTCCTGAACGTGGGTCATCTTGAACGCTTTCTCGGTTGGTTCCTTCACAGCATCATCCCCATAAACTGTTCTGAGATCGGCAAAAATTTCACGGCCATTCTTGCCGAGTTTCGAGAGAAACTTGATTACGACGCGCTGCTCTTCAACGGAAGCGGGCTCCATGCCGACGGGGTTTCTTTAAGAGGTAACTTCACAGATGGCGTGACAAGCCAGTTCGCACCGCACGGCGGTCAGACCAGAACTGAAGCATTGTTAGGGACATAAGGAAGGGGTCCTGCGCTTACCTGGCCTCCCCACTCCTTTTCTCGCATTCCAGAACACTTTTATACGAACTTTCCGGACAGACCTCGTATAATCTAATGCGTAATATCGTCATAGTCGTAGAATACTGACGGATTTGACTAATATTACATATATAGATCCTTCAGTATTCTACGACTATGACGATATAGTCGCAATATTCTTTAATTTGCTCATTAAGTACCGCCGTCAACTATATTTTCTGTTATTATATATCTACGTTTGACTGGTAGATAGAAAAGATATAGTATTAAGTCCGCCTTTTACACTGTCTATGTGTATTAAAGTTTAATACAAAGCAATAAAAAAATAAACAATACAAACCACCCATTAATATTTCAAAACTGAGCATAAATCTTACTTCATAAGACATGAATATCAGCCTACAATTACCACAAAAGCCAGGCGGTTTGATAAATATGTAATTTAATTTAAAGTTTTCTTTCTCTAATGCTTGTATAATTATTATGCTATTCCCTTAATTTGCCTGTTACAACATTCTGGAGATAAAAGAATGATAGTGTAGTGTATTTAGGTTTTTATTTATATATTAATTCACTCGAGAAAAGTCGCGACGAGTAAGTCTATTATAAATTTACTTCGAGCCCGCATCTCGTATTGTTTCTGATCCAATTATACTGGGTGTTTTTGACCTAATTTTTGTTATTTACATAATTTAATCAAATGATACGACATTTCCTTAATTACATGTTATTACAGCAATGCCAACATTTATTACGAGGATTATTATCTGTATGGAAATTATTAACACTTAGTGACCTTATTTGCCAAGATAACTACATTTGAAATCTTGAACGGTATAATTTTAAAGTTTTATAACCTTCGTCCTATTTCTAGGCAGGTCAGGTATACAATTATTATGTTGAAATATCGTAATATGTGAAGAACAGAACGCATTGCAAAACAAAGGACGTTACAGACCGCAAGAGCATTGACGTCATAATCATCATTGCCATCTCAGAATCAGACCTTCATTAGGAATGATTCTAAGCAACCGACATCCACTGACCCTAATAAAACTGCTTGTTTTTTTATGCACACACTGCAGAATATCTACTTAGGTGACCAGCTATCGTGTATTCAACAAAATTATGTTTCCTACATTCCAGGTTAATGCGCGACGAGGAGTGCAACATTCTCCAAAATCTGTCTCGCGACGAATTCCGCGAATTCAGAACACTGGTGATCGACATGGTACTGGCAACAGACATGTCCTTCCACTTCCAGCAGTTGAAGAACATGAGATCCCTGCTGTCGCTCGCGGAGCCAACCGTCGACAAGTCCAAGGCGGTGTCATTGGTGCTACATTGCTGTGATATTTCACATCCAGCTAAGGTATGAAAATAATATTCTTATGATCGTTTTTGTCGAATATCTATCTTCTCAGAATTTCTTCTTCAATTAGGTACATTTGATAAAAAATAATTGTATGGTTAAATCTGAAAATAAATTTGCATTTTAAGTTTTACTTTAAAACCTTAGATTATATAGATAGAGCCATACCAGAGGGAAACTTTGTACAAAAGTCGTTTGCTTGGGCACCTTTGTCTCATTCGTGTTTCTACCGTGCAGCAGTTGTGTTTGCATGGCTGTGTTTCGGTTTGAAGGGTGGGATATGGCAGCGAATTTACAGGATACAGAGGAATAACACCTAAGTCCTCAGGAATGGCAATGCATAGGGGGTATCATGGGCGAAACAGTCTACTCCGTTATGTCCATGATACTATCATTGATCTTATGTTATTCATACACAGTACATATAAATATATCTATTTTACTGGTAACTGTCTAAATAATCTGTTTTACTGGTAGAATGTTCTGTCAAAAAGATTCTAATGATTTCGATTCCAATAATAAATTATTATCTAATACGAACAGTACGAACTCACTCCCGGTACAGTCCCAGAGTACCTATTTGAAATAATGTATTTTAAGCCAAAATGCAATCTCCGAAGATTGCACTCTGGCTAAAGCAGTCTCAACTTCAGCTAAAAATATATTTCTATTAGTTTGTAACCAAATCCCAATACTCATTGCAATAATTGTTAACTCTGCTAAAATAGAGTAGGTTTGTTACTTTTTATATTTCTTTGTACATAAGTATAAGAATGTAATATCTATAGAATAATTATCTGAAACAAACATTCAAACCAATATATCTAAAAGGCGTTATTATACTTTATCTCAATTGTATGTGTGAAATAAATTTAAGGTAAATGTCGGTAACAGTTATTTGTACCTATTTTCTCTAAAAGATTCTTGCCTGAAGCCGTCGCTTAAAATACCCTTTCAGGGACAAAAAAAGTTTTACCTACTATATTAAGTTGACCCTTATTTTTAAAGAACAACGATCATTTTTCAGATATTTGTAATGTCTATATTTTATTATTTTTTCTGTAAATTCTTACCTATTGTTTTATTGAGGCATAAGCTTTCTTAAGCTTATTACTATTTTTTTATATTTAGATACAATATATGAATTTTCATACGACTCGAAAAACAAAAAATAACTAGCAAAATCATAGTTTTGTAATTTGTCTTATGCATAAAAAAATTTGCTGCAACGAAAAAAATAAAATTTGAAAGTATAATTGCAGATGGAATATCTTGTCATAACCTTACTAATATTATAAATGTGAAAGTAAGTTTGTTTATTTGTTTGTTACGTTATAGCATCTTAACTAATCACTATAAAATTTGGTATAAACGGGATGGAAACCATTATCCTTTTTATTCCGGTAAGTAAACATATCCTGGTCTTGTAGACAAAGCCCCGGGCAAAAGCTAGTACCTAATATTTTTTCGAATATACCGTTATAGGGAACTATTACTCAGATTGTCCACATTATGTCGAACATATTTAAATTCAATATGGCTCGTCATGGCCTCAAACAACCTACTTACGAGTCACTTCTGATTTTTTTCTATTATTAACGTATAATGTCACAATGCTGAGTGCTGAGTCTCTCATATCTCCTTCAGTTCAGTTCCTGTTTTACGTTTCCATTTGAATCAGTCTCTTTTAGATTTACTTAAAGTATTCATTTTACTTTTCCAGAGATGGGACCTCCATCATCGGTGGACAATGAGTCTTTTGGACGAGTTCTTCCTCCAAGGCGACAAAGAACGCGACTTGGGTCTTCCATTCAGTCCTCTTTGTGACAGGAATAACACTCTTGTGGCGGAATCTCAAATCGGGTTTATTGAGTTCATTGTAGAACCCAGCATGGGTGTCTGCGCTGACATGCTGGAGTGTATATTGGGACCTTGCACTCGAATACTAAGAACTCGACCAGTACAGTTGGGCACGATGCGATTAATGAGGAAAATTCAGGTGAGAATATATATTTATTATCCCATCACTGTTGTGACGCCAGTACATATGAAATCCCAACATAAACGTGATAGAAAAAATAGAAATGCTCAGACCATAAAATAGTCTGTTGATATCTAGTAACGTACAAAATCAAAAATAAACTAATTGATTAAATGTCTCAATTTGTTACTAATTTATTATTAGGGGAATGTTTTTGTGAATCATATTCATTCATAATCATAATAAGCCGTTATTTGTCCATTATTGAACATAGGCCTCCCCATAAGGGGAGTTCTACGAGTAGCTGCCACGCTTGGCAGACGGGTTGCCAACCACAGTTAGTTGGCTTTGATAAAGTTTTGAGAGGGACGCTACTAAATTCCTCGGCCATTAAATTAACTTAGTCGCCGCTTTTAACACTCACGGGAAAAAAAGAGATAGCCCATTCTATGCCGGGACCACATGGTAACGTTTTTGTGACAATTTCAATAAAATTTTGTTACATTTTCATAAATTCTATCGAAACAGACTATAACTTACCACCAAACCAAATAGTTGGGTGGCTTACTGTCAGTGTATTTTTCAAATAATCTAATAAAAAATAAAATATTGAAAATTGTTCAATTCGTTCTATATTCTTTCATAAATTTATATTTATTGTGAATAGCTAAGAACTAGTTTATAAACAATATTTCTCGTATCATTAATTTTCCCTACCATCTGTACGCGGATTATCTGTAACTTTACAGACACTTCGTACTGTCTGAATTGACTGATACCATTGTTGCCTTAAATACTGATTTATCTGCAATACAATCGGTATTGCAGATTTTGGTTTTTTTTTAATGGATGACAATGAAATAGTTACCCTCCCTGCGCTATCGGTATACGCTGGCGGGGCACCAGTGAGGGATGATAGGTGACGATGAAAGCAGGTCAGTTAGCCCATCGTGATGAATTGCACTAGAATTAACCACGATGGTTTCCAGGGGGAACCACGTGAAGGTCGACCTGATAGAGTATATTGCTAGCAATGAGGCAATGGGACCCCATTACTAACAATCCCTTTCCCCCCGCAGATTTTGGGTTAAAATATTTGCCCTTTTCGTAAAGGATTTACGTCAAATCACAAGCCATCATTATTTACAACAATTACAATTATATTTAATCTAGATTAAGATAGATAAGTATACACGGATGAAAGATAAAGAAGATCATATAATGAAATTAATAATTTCAGGGAGTGAAAGTAACAAATTCAAGATTAGGAAACCATGGGTGGCCTGCCTCAGTGACAATAAGAAAATATGGAAGGAACAAGCTGCTAAAGGTAACATGAATTGCCAATGATAGTCTGTATTAATATCAGTAATTATAAAAAATAATACCTAAAAATACTAAGTACAACTACCTACGTACAGTACTTAATATTTACATAAAAAAATATTTCAATCAAAATAAATCGGACATATTCGTCGTGATATCCAAATTACCATTTTTGTAGGTAGATATAGAACTTTACGTCTTTCGTTGAAACCGTAGTTGCAAGGCCTTATGAAGTCTTTTTGATTCGAAGTGAGGTGGTAGATGTCTGCTAATAATTAAACCTTTAATAGTCAACTATTCTAAAAAAATAACTGTATCTGCTTTTGTTATATGCTTTTATTATTTAGCTATTACGATGTAAAACAATAGGTATTCTATAAAACTAAACTTTTTTTAAGTCTGATTGATTATAGAAAATACCCATTATTTAGATACTTCGACCTATAATCAAATATTGGGATCGCTTCTGAGGCGATATTTCACTAAACCTATCTCTAAAAATAAATTACAATTTGATATCACAACAAAATATTTAAGGCCAATGTATTCTAATTTCTGACAGATTAAATAGATTTTCTATTCATATGTCTACGGTCGACTGGTAGATTAACGCCATCTAGTGTTAAGTCCGCCATTTACACTATCTAGGTGTATTGATAAATAAATTTACGTAAAAATCATTGTAATTCATGGTGGTCCATGAACAAGTAATATCGCGAAATTATTAAAATATCTGGCTAAGAAGTAAGTTTTGATAAATGGTGTCTTGGAATCGGTCCCATTAATTCTTAAACTCATTTCAGACGCAGAAGCCCGAGCCAAGCAGGAGGAGGAAAGCAGCAGCGCTACGGTGGAAACAGAAGAATAATATATGGCCACTCTTGTAAATAGCATTAAATCTAGTTGTTATAATGTATTGTATTCTATGTTAAAAAAATGCTGAGAGGTGACGTTGTACGTGCGTCATCGCTTCTTAATAGTACGTTGCTAATAAAGTTGTGTTTCACGCACAAATATATGACTTGAAAGCACAAGCGGATAGCCTGATTGTAAAATAACTCTATGTGGAAGACAACATAGTGAGCCAATTTCGAAGAGGTGTTCTACTGCTGAGCGGTACTCGCCCGTAGTTTAAGGTACCTTATGTGTTTATTGTAATTTGTCGTCATTTACTTTAGATTATGTACTCCTGTTATCTGTTTTAGAATAATTGTCAGTACCTTCTTTCTGAAGATTCATAATGGTTAAGTAGGCAATAAAAGACAGTTGCCCTACTTTAGAATAAAAGGAAGTCAAAATGACATCTCAAGTAGCAACTTCACGTCCATATACACCTACTTAGTTATTAAATACTTGTACTTATGTATAAGATCATTTATAATAGGACAGTAATACTTAACCTCACAATGTGGTCTCCTCACGCTTAATCAATAGACCATTATTACTTGTCGTCAGTTGAACTTTGATGGAATTTACATTTCTAACATACTCAATGTGTATAAAGTTGTACTGTACCGACTTATTTCGACATAGGTGATAAGCGCTAAATGTATGTACTTATAGATAACTTTAACAATGCTGGTGATGGAGCAAACAATTATATCTTAATGTCATGTGCACTTCTCTTCAATGATAAAGAAACACCCCTTATAGTCGGCGAGCTGATGTGGTTTGGGCGAAAGAGACCAATATAATATAATAGCTCTCTCTTTTACTAAACTGCATCAGACCTCAATGATTGTATAAATATTTATAGTGAAATTATTAAATATATTCAAATAAATATACGTAGCTTAAATATTAGTGTTAAATCTTACCCATATGAAAAATACGCTTATTAATTTTAATGTTTCCGATTAAATTGGAGAGTCTTGATATTCCTGACCAAATGTTATTTAAAATATGAAATTATTTTCTATATACTTAAACGCCATCTCAAATTCTAGGTAGACATATGTAGTTAGTACATTATTACCTATAGTTAGTGGGAAATTCATATTGAAAGATTTATGGGGTATTGCTCTTTTGGTTAGCCGTATTTACAAGGTATTTATTGAGCTAAAACGTTAGATTTACTTAAGTACATAATAGGTACTTTTCAGATACTTTTAAATAGTGATTGTGCTCAAAATCAATCCGATGTAAAAAGAACAAAGCATGCACCTTTTACAAAGCATTAGACTGATGGAAAAAGGCTTATAGGTAAATGATTATATTTACCAAGGGGCGATCTGGAAGTCTATGTGTAGAAATGATCATAAATGTATTGTAAAAGATATGGAGGACCCAAAGTAAATGTACCGTCCTTCTTAGAATATCTATCTTTTATCGAAAAGAGCAACGTGAATTTATTGTTGGGAAGACATTGAAAGGATCAGGGCCAAACGTTTCGATACTATAAATTGCCAAATGTTTTGAACACGCTTAAAATAAGAATGTTAAATTGATTAACATAATAACATCTGACTTACACATTTCAGAGGCCTAGTTTTCCTGGTAGGTACATGGGACCATTCTCATTGAATATCAAGTCAAAAGAAACCATAATCATAATAATTTTAGGTCCCTATTTATTATTTCAGGGATTGTAAGGATAGGTATAATCCAACTGGTGACGCTTATTGTAGAAATATTAACAATAGAACTTTTTATATATTTATCATCTATTTAAAAAAATAATAGACTTTATGAGGAATAAATCTGTATATTGTGCATTTAGTATATCAATTGATAGTTTGATTAAGTGTAATCAAAATAGAATGTAGTTAATCGATGCCATTACGATTGGGGATATAGCTTTATAAAAATGTAGTGTATATTACTGAGCCTTATAACACAATTAATTAATTGTTGTTTCTGTAAATTAGCTTGCAGCAGGTTGTAGGCCCATGATCCATGTAATCGACTAAATAGTAGTTAATGTTTCTTCCTTTTAAATAATAAATAATAGATTTGCTTTCGAATATAAATGTCTACATTCCGATGCCTGAAGACTTCACTGCTATTATAAAGTTACCAATTAATAAATAAATAAAAATACATTATATGTGTAAGATCACATTTAAAATTAAGATTTCTGTCCATAAGTTGTTTATGTGTAAAACAGCCAGTTTGTGTATAATAATAATTATGATATTGATATAGACAAATAAAACTGTTAATCCTTATTATTAACTTCTATATTCTTCAAGAACTGCAAGCAAAAAGACATTTAATAATTACAATCCTCTGCTAGTTTATTATAGATCACATATCACAAATATAATCACAAAATCAAAGCACTTATGAGATCAGGATTCCCAATTATTTCATAGTATCCACTATATATATATATATATCAATTACTAAATATATCAGCACAAATGATCCCATAATTAATTCATCTACATAAATATTTTCATTTAAGCACTCTCTTTTACTATGTTAATAAAATTGAGTTTAACAAATAATTAAAAACTACCTATAATAATAAAAAAAAATAGTAAAAATAGTGTTTAGATGAAATTTGTGGTAACTAAGAATGCATTTTGATTTTGAAACTACCTATTTATACAATGTAATCTCATTCTAATAATTAAATTATGAATTTGTTTTAATAACTTAAGGTTCTTTTTCTACATTGTGTAAATACAATAAAACACCTTTAGGTATGTGTAAATTATATGTAAAATAAAATAAAAATTTTCGTAGAATATGCCTTTTATTTATCAGGATCCACATTACAAACATCATAATTACTTTGTTTTAAAATCATTCAATGAGGTACATTTTGAAACAGATCTAATTAAAAAGACACTTTAATAGCAAAACAAAATATAAAAATAATGACTACCTATATATATTTACAAAAGCATGTTTACTAACTAAGAATATACTTATGTGCCTTTCCGAAGACATTTATTTGCACCGACAAAGCTCTGACATCAGTCTTTTGTCGGTTACAGATGATTGTACCTTGAATTACATCACCCTGTTTAACCTCTCTACAATCTCTAAAATAAAATACAGTTTGTTTCCAATGTGTTGGAGTTTTGTCAGGACCAGTTGAAAATGAAACAGGATTAGGTAAATCAAAGAAAGTATCAAAATAGCCAACAAGTGAAGTTAGTAACCCGTCTTTAGTAATTGTCAGTTTAAATTCAGAAGTAAAATCCATTATGTCTGTATTGCAAGTGTTTATATCAATTTCTTTAACAATACATGGTTCAGATATTATATGTTTAGACTGGACTACATCAATACTTGCTTCCCTAACTACCTCTGACTTCATACAATTCATTTTGTATCCATAAACATCTGACCAAAAGTTGATAAGCTTACTGTGAGTATCAATATCTCCGTTTGCAACCAGACTGATGTTACATTTATTGGGTAGTAACAACCCTCCAGGCTTCAAATAATTATTCCTTGCATAAATAACACTATCTAACATACCTTCAAACAACAAAAAGTATCCCATCCATTCTGAAACAATTATATCAAGTGTTTCATCTAACTTTGTATTCTCTAACCGGCCTTTAATAGTTTTAACAACATTTTGCCAATTGTTTTCTCTGATAATATCAATTGCATGATATATAATTTCAGACTGATCTAATGCATACACTCTTTGAGCTCCGGCTGTTGCACACAACATAGACAAAATCCCCGTGCCACATCCGAGATCTAAAACAACCTTACCTTTTATAGTTTCTTTGTTATTTAAAATAGCATCTCTATAACTTTCTGTCCGCACTTTGTCTGATAACATATCATAATGTATACCAAAATGAGCATATGTGTTGAAATATCCTTCATCATCTTCTAAAGGCAACTTAGATACACAATTGACAACAACATTTTTCTCACTGTCATCACCGTTTGGGTTGCCTCCATCAACAAGAGTCTTCATTGATTCTTGCATTTTATTTATATCTTCCTTAGCCATTTGTAGGTGAGTTTGAGTCTCGTTGAGTTGTTCGGTCAACGTTTGAATAGTCCTTTGAAGTTCAATGAAGTGTGTTTGAGATAATGTCACCAAACCATTTTCAACATTAGCATGGTATGTTTTTGGAGAATTCGGCTTATCGATAAGAGAATCAAAGTCGAACATTAACCAATCATCATTTTCTACAGGTTTCAAATACTTTTCGTCATCCCAAAGAGGTTTTGTTGTATTCAAAATGTCTTCGGGGTTTGGCTTGTGTGACTTTATATAGTTTATTAATTTGATGTACGAGTAACAATCCATGTTAAACTTTAATTTTAAGGAACTTAAAACAAAGTTATGAGCAGTTTCACAGTGATTTAGACCTTCTTCGACAGACGTAAAAATGTCGGTACAAAATAAACACATTACCGAGCTATTACTCGTCTCCATTTCTTGCCAATCATCATCTTCGAAATTTTCTTCATCACTGCTTAGATCTGGGACGTCAGACATTGTTTCAATTTAATAGCGTAAAATTAGAAAACTAGATTAATTTACAATCAAAACGTGTAGGAAATAGATAAATAAGTAACACGAGAAAATAAGATCCATGACAGATATGACAGCGAAAGAACCGCAACAGAGTACAAAAATACTGTCGGCCGTCAAGCAGCCGTCAATCATGATTGTCAGTTGCTGTCTTGGGTACTGGACTAGATATTCTACATTGATATTTTCCTATAACAACATACATTGCATAAACCGTAGATTAACGATATAACTGAGTAGGTAAGTATCATTTCTTCTTCTTTTCCTCAATAATAATCAACTCTAGTCACCATCTAAATACCGCGCTGACATCTCGTAAACGATTACCAAATGTTAAAAAATGGTCTTGTGTAATACAAATTCCTAAATCCTAGACGCTAAATAAATTAAATACACTTTTCACATGGTAAGAAAATAGAACTAATTTACAATAATAATTTTATTTCCTTAATCATTCTACAGAGACAACACCAACAATCGCTCATTATAGAGAAAAGAAAACGTGTCAAAAATGAAATATGACATCAAATACTAAACAATTTTTGAAAATTAGAAGAAACGTTGTTTCATACTATATGTACTCCACTTATTTAATTGTCGAACTGTGGATGTAAGAGACTATGACTGCAAGGACCTATCTATGCTACCGGACACGCGCGAATTTTGTAACCATAGTTACCGTATTAATAACAGAACGAAAAATAATTAATAAACTTCTACAATGAAATTAAAAATCTCTTCTTTTAAAGAACCGAAACATGTTGGAGTTGTTATATGTGTTAGCTGGAATAATACTGAAGATGTATTCTCTTGCGGGTAAGAATGATATTTATATCCTATTACATCATAATCGAAATTTATATCGTAAAAATAATATTATTAGTAATTATTGGACACTAACACTATCTAAACTATTTATTAATAAACTTGCCCGTGTAAATAAAAAAGATTTTCCAAATAATTAAATTCATAATTTGAATTTATAAGTACTATTATAGTATAAGAAGCAAAGTATACTATAGGAGGTACTATACAGTTAAATGTTAATTTGAATAGATAATGTCAAACTACAAAATGTCGCAATTAAAAATAAACAAAATTATCTTATAAATTCTTATTTCTTACAGTGACGACCACAAATTATTAAAATGGAATCTAGTAAACAGCGAATGCATGACCGTAATGACATTCTCTGATGACTTTTACCCTACGGGAATGCACTTATTCCCAAAGATAAACATGGGTGGTAATAAACATCAACATGATGTTATACTAATTTCTACAGCAGACGGCAAGTAAGTTAAATAGAATTTAATAGAAAAAGATATGTTTTACAGCCAGATAACATACAAACTACCTCTTCTTAATATGTAAACAAAAATTCTTATTACTATGTTTACGCACTAAACTTTAAAACTGATATATCTGTCAAAAGTTCAAATCTTGAAACTTATTTTGACTGATTTTAGATTTCATATAGTAAACCACAATGGGCGTATAGAAAAAACCATTAATGCTCATCAAGGAGCTTGTCTCGCTGCACAATGGAGTCCCGACGGGGCTGGTCTTCTGACAGGTATTTTGTTTTATTTTAGACTAAACTTAACAATGATGAAAAACAACAATTGTTGTCAATCTATTTCTCTGTTACATTAGATTCAAATATACTCGGTAAAATAGGTCCATCTCGAGTCTTATTTTCTTAACAATAAGGAGTCGTCAAGTTCCTTTGATTATCACATCAGGGATTACAGGAATTTACATATTTATTTGTATACGATTTACCGACTATTATTTAATACGTATTTCAAGCTGGGGAAGATGGTTTCGTCAAAGTATGGTCTCGGAATGGGTTGCTACGCTCTACAATTGTACAGTCTGATGTACCATGCTACAACGCCGTATGGAGTCCGGATAGCAGTGCCATCTTGTACACCAAAGAAAACTTCTTAGTGATTAAACATTTAAATTCCAATAACAAAATCATAAAAGTAAGTTTGGACAGATTAAATAACTTAATAACCTATTCATATGAAGCAATAAAAGTTGACGTGTGGTCCCGGCATAGAATAGATCACCCCTTTTTTCCCGTGAGTGTCTTAAGAGACGACTAAGGGAGGACGAGGGATGGACAGTAGCGCCCCTCTCAAAACAACAACAACAGGCAAACTGCAGGCAAAACCCCCAAAAGGGAAGCTTATGTTCAGCAGTGGATAGTTAAAGGTTGATATGCATATAAAAGTTATATATTTATAATAATGATCAGATAAAAAGAAAAGACATTAAGGAGCAATTTAATCAAAATAGTTGAGAAATCAGCTTATATTTAATAATCGGTAAACACTGGCTGTTTACCGATGAGTTTCTTAGGAACGATCCTTATGACAGTTTAAATTTAGAAGCTTACATTTAAAAGTGTATAATTACTTATCAGAATTTTTTTTACCTAAGTATCTGAATAACACTGCCAAATTACACGTAGGTAATTGTATACACAGATTTTCTTTTTTACAGTGGAAAGCTCATGAAGGCCTAATCTTATGTGTGGCGTGGAACGCTAACAATAACATGATTATATCTGGCTCTGAAGACGGTTTCTCCAAGGTTCGCAACATATTAGTTATAAATACTACTTGATTTATGGTTATTACGATCCTAATCATCAAATCAAATCAGGTTTTCTTATATAATAATTAATTTAAATGCAGATTTGGGATACCTTCGGTCAACAAATATCTGTCAGTGTGAAACACGACCAACCTATTACCAGCGTTAGTTGGTCACCTGCCGGTGACCTATTTGTTATTGGAAGTTACAACCTCTTGCGATTGTGCAGTGCCAATGGTGTAAGTAATTGAAAAAAAAAAAAAACTTTGAAGTAGCATTGGCAATAGAATATACAGCTTTGCAATCAAATTTAGCATTTATTCTAGATTTGAAAATAATGTCTAGTGTAAAATAATATTACGAAATATCGTAAAATTTGATAATATCACGTTGCAGCTATTTGTGACAAGAAAAATGGGATTATTTGTTACAAGGCCTAAACCCTCAATATTAGCAATATAAGGTATATTCAGTCAGATCGACATGACTTTTCCCATTTCTATTACGCGTTTCCCTATGGAAACCGTTATGATTGATTCTTCTTGAATTTATTACGATAATAGCTTATCGTGAACTTGTTTTTATCTTCATCTTCTGTTACTATTCTATTATCGTATATATAAACATAGAAAGTATTTGTGACATTCGAGGCTCTCGAAGAAATATAATTATTTCAACTTGAAGTAATATCAACAGCTGCTTTAAGATTTAATTTCTTCAACAGTGGTCCCACTGTCTAGATCGACCAGCTACTGGCAGCATTTATAATATTGCTTGGTCTTCTGACGGTACCCAACTGGCAGCTGCTTGTGCTAATGGACATGTTATGTTCGCTCATATTATAGAAAGGTAAAGATTTTCTCCCATTCATCTTAACAGGAAATGAGTTAGATTGATAAATATTGACTTTTTTATTAGCTGATAGCTAATTATTTTAAGTTATTATATTTTATTAAATTACCTTATAGGGAATATACTTGGAAAAACTTTTCCTGCACACAAACGGGTCGCAAAGTTATTTCCATTAAAGATATAATCACTGACCAGAGCGATCAATTGGACTATCCAGACAGGGTCATACAAATCGCCCTGGGTTTCAATCACCTTGTAATAGCTACCGTCAAACAATGCTTTATTCATAAACTAAGCTCGTGGAATACGCCAGTGACATTCGATCTGAAAGAAGGCACGATTAGCATGATTTTGTTGTCTGAAAGGTAAGACTGGTATTTTCTTCCTCTTTAATTGCAATACATTTTTATATAAGTAAGTAAAATATATTGTTTTATTTACATGAGTAAATCTTTGATAAATTTGATAAATAAATACCGAAGATAATTTGTTTTCAGATTTTAAACGATGTACTCGCTAAGGAATAATTTAACTACTAGACGATTTATAGTCTGCACTTGTGTTATGTTTTAGATGTTTATGCGTAGTAGAAAGAGCCGGTCTATCCGTATACAGTTATATGGGCCGATTACTGGCTAGCCCACGCTGGGGCGCCCGACCAGATACCCTCGGTCGAGCAGGCTTATCTCTTGGACCTGATTCTCTTGCTGCTATTGATCAAACAGATCGTAAACGTAAGTAAATTTACCAAATAAGTAAAATTTTGAAGCCAAAAAAAAATTATAATAACTTTAATTAAATATTATTGTCCAGTTATCCATGTGTTCGATCTACCAACTGGATTGATAGTCCGAAGTTCATCAGATAATACAGTAACAAAGTTGTCCCATAAGATGACAGTCTCGGACATCGCTCTCAGCCAATCAGGACCGATTAGTGAGAGACAGCTGGCATTGCTCGACTATAATCGAGACTTGTATGTCATTACAGTAAAGGATCCAAAGGCTAAATTTAATAAATTGGGTAAATATCAGCATATACTTTAGCTATACACACATATATCTTGATGTTTAGATAAGTACCTGTAGCGCCTAATAGTTTATTGAGGCAATACCGTCATCTAAATTAATTAATTAAATTAAGATTTTAAATTCATTCCTCCAATTGTGCTTAGGACTTGCGCACAAGAGTTGGCTCCTGTTCTTAAGCGTCTTTTTCGGCTCTGTTACTCATCATGTATAGTCCCAAAGTTTTGGAAGACTGCTTTGGTGCATCCATCCCTAAAAAAGGAGCTCAGATCCAGCTTATAGGCCCATAGCTATCACTGAAAGTCATAATCACATCAACTGCTCCGGTACCTAATAATCTCAGATCGCCAGTACGGCTTTCGACTCGGCTGGTGATCTTTTAATTTAACACACCGATGATCGGTGGCAATCGAGAATAAGGGAGAGGCCTTAGCTGTTAGTCTGGATATTGCAAAGGCCTTTGATCGGGTGTAGCATAGGGCACTAATCTCAAAACTACCTTCGTTTGGGTTGCCTGCGAGATTGTGCAGTTTTTTCTTAAGGAACGTAGCATACGTAGTCGACGGAGCATGCTCTGACTTAAAAAATGCTGGTGTCCCGCAAGGCTGTGTTATCTCCGATGTTTCTTCTGCATATCAATGATATGTTACAGATCAGTTAATTGTTATGCAGAACAGTACAGGAGATGCATTATACACCGGTTCTCGCGGGCACATACCGATGAAAGAGACTTTTAAATCGAAACTTCACTAACTTTCTCTTGTTCACTTTAACCCTAAGAAGACAACCGCAAAAAAGACAATAATAATAAGTCGAGTCTGGGGATTCTTGGCGTCGATAATCTAGCGACTTCCAGTTTTGCGGTCATCTGGAGGAAAAAGCTCTTCCAAAAAGTTGGGGGTTCAATAGGGTGAGACGGTATTTCACGCCAGAAAAGCGCCTGAAACTATATAAAGCTCAAGTGAGGCCACACATGGAATACTGTTCTCACCTGTGGGCAGGAGCGCCACAGTTCAACTCCTTCCGTTAGACCGCAAAAGTTTGTAACGATCGGCGTCTTACAATGAAACTGCGTACATCTCTGTGCATCTTCTAAAAAGATTTTCACCATCGTATATATTTCATCCCAACCATTCAAGGCACTTTCTCCCACGCAGAATCACAGCAGCAGTATTTCTGAACCGATACGACAACATAACCTTCAAGAAAAGAGCATATTCCTTTTTAAAAGGCCGGCAGCACACCTGCAATGCCGTAGGTGTTGTGGGTGACCATGGGCGGCGGTAGTCACTTACCATCAGGTGAGCTGCATGCTCGATTGCCCACTGTGTTGTAAAAAAAAAAAATTAATAGGCAAATTTCGTGACTTTTAAATAAAAATAAGCTTTTTGAATATAAACAATAATAATAAGCTAAAAAGGGAGATTTCATTTAAATTGGTATTATAAGGTTTGCAAATTTAAACAATACATGAAAAAAATGTATAACTTCAAACAGGAATATGAGACACTTCATACTATGAAACTAATTTCACTTTCTCATGCCGAGCCATATTTCGTTGCGCTCCAAAACTCTATTTCTAGTCATTTAGCAAAAAAATTTAATTACAATTTACATATTTCTTTTCTCAGTATATATTATTTCAAGAAGCCTCGATGTCTTTTGCCGAAACTATTTATAAGATCGTATCTTATAATATTTTTATGTTTATAGGCTCCCAAATTCTCGACATAGTTTGGAGTTCGGAAACCGAATTATTAGTAGGTTTACGCGCCAGCTCGGTAGTGGCTTGGTGTTGCCCTCGTGCCGCTACACAAACTGATTGGCTAGCGCTAACTACTGTTAGCAAGGAGATTACGTAAGATTTATGTTCTCTGATTTATTTTTCTTTCAATCTTAACTTTACCAATGTTCATACATTATTCTAGATATTTTAAATGATTTTTATCGCTTTTTATTTACATTAATCTAATAAGTGATCGATTCCTAGAGATCTAGGTCGCAACCCGTCCGTCGTGTGTGTCGAAGACGGCGTCGCCCGTATTTGTCGTGGAAATGGCTCAATGCTGCACGTGTCACTCGCTGCCTTTCCCGAGAAGTTGTTGAAACATGTTGCCGCTAATATGTGGCAAGCTGCATTACAGGTTACAATATCATGTTCTGATTTGTTTTTAATAATTTAACAAACAACAAATTACTATTAAAAGAAAACGGCGTTACCGATCAGATTCAAAAGGAAGATTGACACGCAGATGACAGATCAGACGCCATGACTGAACAATCTGTTTAGTCTTAATGTAGCACTGGTATAAAACTATCAGCCGAAGATACGCAACCAAAGATCCACTAAATCCTTACTAAAGCCTTAATCTCTACCTCTGGTACCTTTATTATGCTTGAATAGATTACATTACAGAGTGAAACACGTTAACAAACAAAACAGGATAAATAACATATAATATAAAATTAAATAGTCTTGAAATTGAATGATGAATGCCAAACAATCATTAATAACTCACGTTGCTATCTTTAAAAAGTTCTCGTGTAATTTTGGATCGGTATTGATGTGACCTCACATTGCTGATTTAAAGGATAGACAAAACTGCCGCCAGTAAACTGAGTTCGTAGTAATTAATTTTCATTTAAATTTTTACAGTTGTGTCGCACAGTAGAGGACGAGACACTATGGGCATGTCTGGCGGTATTAGCATGGCAACAACACCAACTCGCCGTCGCAGAAGAAGCATTCGCGCTGATTCATCAGTACCAACAAGTTTGTTACATACAACATCTCAGGGTACGCTTAACTACATAAAATTCTATTTACTTGTCTTTTCAAAACATTAAAGTAGGTACTGCATGGATAGATTCTTTGCATACTATATAATAATTTTCCCAAAATTTATTATACTTCATTATTTATTTAAAACACACACAATTATAAATTTACATTGATTCAATTGTTAGATGATAACAGGATCATTATTTTCAGTTGGCATTAGATAACTTTTGTAAACACAATATGTAAATAATACTACTGATAGAATACATTTTAATTTAGGAAAATATACTTGGCGTGTTAATGTACCGGTGTGCCTTTCATTGTTTCCTCGGTACCACTCCAATCCAAGACTTTCAAAGGGATATTATGTAACTTAAAAATAATTAAATCTAAATTAGCGCTTGATCTGTTTCACTTTATTTTACAGAATACTATTCCGGAAAAATTATCAAGCGGAAGATTAACTGTTAATTAGAGTAGTAGTTTATAGTAGATACTTATGTTTTAAATTAAATGTATCATGAGAATAGATAAATTAAAAACGTTTTGTTACAATATAAGTCCATTTATGTAACATAAAATTTATTAAACATTCCTTTTTAGTCTATATTTTAATATTAAAATTTATATCACCATATTGTCTCATAATTTACTTGAACATTGTTAGAACTTCTAAGTCATAATTTATAAAAGATATTATTGTAACTAAATGTATTCAGAAACATAATAAATTAGTAGCTATAAAAATTGTTTCAATGATCAACTACACGTTTACTATTGTATTAGTACAACATTTCATCTGAGAGCAATTCAATGAAATCTCTTATCTACTACCTGCTTAAAAACATCTACATAAAAGTAATAATTAATACCTACCAAATAGAATCACGAAAAAGTTTTGTCGAAGGTAGTTGTTTAAAGTAAAAAAATCAGATAAGGTGATTAATTTATGTAGATGTGTATCCCATTTATTCAAAAGGAACACTGTACGTAAAAAATGTCTTGAGACGTGGTTCATTATTTTTGTCAATTGAATGGATTTGTTCTAGTTTGTATTCAAAATATTTTTAATTTTATTCCACCTATGTTAGTTTGGGATTTATTCTTAATCTTTGCCACAACTAATAGAAAGTAGTTACGACAAACTACGGTCTATTGTCTGTCACGTTTGACAACTCTGTGGTCGTTTAACGCAATGTCTGTATTTTGTTTGTGATCTGTGACAGTCAGTATCAGGTAGCGAATGAAATTGCTTTTTTTTTAAAGTGTGCGCTTTATATTAGTATTTATTTTCGAAAAAGTAAACATTTATTAAATTGAAACAAATAAAATACAATTTTGGTAAACAAACTTTATATGAGCTTTTGATTATATTGCATTTTAATTAACTATTTATATTGTTTTTAATTTCAATAGAACGTGCCCTACATAAAAAATAATATTTTTTTTAAAGAAAGTTTTAATTATATATTTTGTGTAATGCTCAATTGTAACGAAGATGCACACATCAAAATATTATTTAGTGTTGTTGAATGTTTTATTCTGTGTTCGCGGGCAAATTAGTGATGTCAGTGGAAATGATGTAGCGAATGAGCACTCTTTGGAGTTGACCCAGTCCTTGAACTTGGCACGTCAAGAGTTAATTCAAGACGCCTGTAAGCGGTTCCCTCCGAAGACCGGCTTGGATGAGTTGCCTGCGAACCAATTGGAACACATTTTAATTGATGATAACCACAAATTGTTGTACTGCTACGTGCCAAAGGTGAGTACGTATTTAAAGAATAGGTACAGACCAACTATAAATTATTATTGACTATATATGGTATATCTGTGTATAAATTAAATTACATTCAAATCCATTCATCTGTTTAAGTGTAATAGAAAAACAAATATCTTTATAAAATTCTCCATAATATTGATAGGTAGTAATAAGTATAGAAGTATTAAATATCATTTTGGGCATAGGCCACCTCTTGTACAGACCTACTTATTAGTATGGTCAGTAAATAGTAGGTGTTTAATTATATTTTTATTTATAAAGTATCTAATGAAATCTTGATAAATATTAAAATTTAATATTAAACTGTAATTACAATTATTTTATAAATTTTAATTAATCAATTATTTTTTACAATTTGGTATTCATTATGCTGTAAAAATTAAATAAAATAGTGCTGTGTCATAATACTTATTAAGCTACTAGATAATAGTTACAACACCTAATATATTTTTACCTGCATTGATCCTCTTGTGTTATAAAATATAAACAGTAAAAAAAAATTACATTAAATTGTTATCCTATTAAATATGAAATTTTAAATATCAGGTAGCATGTACAAATTGGAAAAGGGTCCTTATGATACTGGGTGAGAAATGGAACAATACAGATGTGTTGTCAATACCTGCCAGTATGCCACATACTCTGGGAATGTTCCGGAACATGAGCACAGTGGATAAACCTGAAAGGGACTATATGTTGGAAAATTACCACAAGATGATCATAGTAAGGAATCCATTTGAAAGATTGCTGTCGGCATATAGAAATAAGTTGGAGGGAGTTACACAAAGTGCTAGGTATTTTCAGGTGAGATTTTATATATATTTATGATTCAATATTTTTACTAGTACTAGTATAAAGATGTTGAATTACTAATTGAGTTAATGAAGAGGGATAATTATTTTAATTCTTATATTCAAATAATTAGGCCCACTTCATTGTATAAGTCTTTGTGGCTTACTGGAAAATGGCCTCACATTCCCTCTGTCTAAGGCATGAATTAAGTGACCATAATTTTTAAATTATCCAAATATGAATTTGAGAATTCACATGTTTATGCTGTTTTTTAAATATCTTACTAATTATTATATCAACCGTTAATTGTTTGATCTTAATATGCTATCTAGAAGTGGTTAAGTCATTGGTTTTTCTGTTTCTAAAATTCATGTGTATACATTAGTAAGCAAAAAAATAATAAGATGTATGTTTCAGATTGATGATATGAATTTTACACTAATTTTTTGTGATTGGGATAAAATATATCTGTGTTCTATCTACTTATAATATTTGTTTTAAAGTCATTGGAATCATCCAATATACCTATATATATTAAAACTAACTAGACTGTCACTGTGCTAAATGAGTACTAAAAATTTTCATAAAATTGAATGCAATATGAAATAACTTATATATATGTTAAATCTATATATATATAAGAATTCATGCCTTAGATAGTTTAAAATTAGTTGTGTCTTAAAACTGTAATAACACTGACATTTGTATTGTTAAATAAACATGAAATAATAATATTTCACATAATGTTAATTGTCTTTAGAAGATTCTACGAATGTGGGAATATCCATTCAAATGTCCAGACACTTCATTCATTCATTCATTCAAAGGTTGTTCACATAACATGCCCAACTAACTAGGTTTTATATTACAATTATTATGTCTTGCCCTCATTAGAGGTTGATTTATTATTCTTTCATCTCTTTAGACCAATTTGCAATTGCCAGATTAAGTATAATATTTTACATTATATATATATATATATATACTCACATGTTATTTACTTGGCTACCTCATTTTTCAATTTTTTTTTCTATTTTATAAAAAAAAATGTTTTTTATTGCTTATACTGCTAAATAGCTCTTTAAATACAGTTTTATTGCTATATATGAACCTAAAAATATATGGAAACAAGTATTTGGCAGTGTTGCTATTCTTAGCTTATATTAGATAGAAATTGGCAATGTTTGTTTACATTAATCTCTGATTAGAGCAATTTGTTCTACCAATTTTAATGAAATTTTGTAAAACCATTGTTTTCTCCAACTACAGTGATAGGATAGTTTTTATCCCGATAATAGTAAATAGATCTGGTGTGTGGCAATAGAAAAAAAATATTTATCAAGTCAGCTAGTAACAGTATAAACAAAGGTCGCATTAATATTGGTGAGAGAGGTTTATGAGAATCAAGTGGTACAACAATAAAAACACAAGCTTTCTCTTACAGACGCGTGTCGGACGTCGCATAATTAAAGAGTTCCGACAGAATCCAACAAACGAGTCACTAGAATACGGCCACGACGTGACCTTCAAAGAGTTCGCGCTGTTCCTCACGAACAGCTCTGAAGAGTTGGCGGATGTGGTGAACAATGAACACTGGCAGCCCATCACCAACCTGTGCCATCCGTGCCTTATAAAGTACACTTTAGTTGGTAAGTTTATTTCATTAATATATCATCGTCATCACACCGAGCAAATCGTACAAAATCACACTGTTAGACACGTGTCTCTTGCCATGGATCGAATAGCATGGTCCAGAATGCAGCGAGGCATCAGTGGAATGCAATGTTGAGGAAGAAATCAGGTCAGATCCATTGTGGCAAATTCGAACTACAATGGAACGAACAAAAAGGAACCGCGTAATTCCGAACACCCCCTATTCGCCGGATTTGGCCCCGTGTGACTTCTTCTTGTTCCCAAAAACCAAATTGGTACTTCGGGGGCGGCATTTGGGGGACATAAATGAGATAAAAAAAGCTACGACGGGGCAGCTGATCGTCCTGTAGCCAGTAATATAGCATATATTGTTGAGTATGGGGTCACTAGTCCCCATTAACACATATTCCACCCGTTTCTTTAAATATCTTACATTTCTACACTTGCACCGATTGCCGTGAAAATATGTACAGACAAGTAAACCATATCTACAAAGTTTTATTAGCTTTGTATGAAACATAAGATTCCCTGACGAGTTATAAATAAAAAGTGTCTACTACACTTTTTCATCCCCAGGATGTCGCCTACGTTAGCGTGACTAAGAGAACAAGCTTAATACCAGTGAGGAAAATTCGATACAAAACCCTATATCAAAACGCCTAGCCACCTGACCTGATGGAAAGTGGTAATCGTCGACTATAGACATGAGCAGTACCATGGACATAACAGAGTACACTGTTTCGCCCATGATACCCCCCATGCGTTGCCATGGAAATAATATGGAATGAAAAAATGGAACATAAAATAGAATGATAAGCTCTCCATCACTATCGGTATACGCTGGCGGGATACCAGTGATCAATAATAGGTGAACATGAACTTATGTTGGCCCATTGTGACGAGTTCTCTAGGTATAAAGATACCAGGGGATACCACGTAGTGGTCGACGTAGTAGGGTTTATTGTTGACAATGGGGCACTTAATGCCTATTACTAGCAATCCCTTCCCCCCAGTTATGCGATGTTAATAAACTGTTATTATTATATTATTAAATCGGATATAAAATTAAATAAACTTGTTCAATTCTGATTCCTTAACATTGTTATTATAAATGAGTAAGGCGGGTCTATTGTTAACAAATAAGCTTTAGGATTTCGTGAACAAATATTTGCACGTAAAATATTTTTACATGAAACACGTTGCTGGCGCCAGAGGCTTGGTGTAAATAAATAACATCTTTTTGATTAAGGCGCATCATTCCTACTTGACTTTGGACTGTATGGATGTAGTTTAAACTTTTTCTCTCCGCTACCCGCTAAGAATTATCGCAATGACAAAGTATACTTATGCACAGTTCTTCCATTATACAAATGTGCTCGGTTTATTATTGAACTGATTTTTTATACAACTTAGAATGGCAAACAACCTGATGGCCCATGTGATGGAAAGTGGTAACCGTCGCCTATATACATGAGCAGTACCATGGACATAACAGATTATATTCTGTTTCGCCCATGATACCCCCCATGCGTTGCCATTCCTGAGGACTCAGGTGTTATTCCTCTGTACCCAGTAAATTCACGCCACATCCCACCCTTCAAACCGAAACACAGCCATGCAAACACAACTGCTTCACGGTTGAAACACGAATGGGACAGAGGTACCCAAGCAATCGACTTTTGTACAAAGTCTCCCTGTCATCATTAATATTTCTAAAATCCAAGCGTACAAAATAACTGACAAAAACTTTTTTTTAAATAATACGGGTATGTAATTTGTGTAATATAATGAATTTCCATCATAAAGTCACAACACAAACAGTGAGATACTTGTTTTATGTGTTGACAATTTATAATAGTTAAGTATGACATACGCATTGTCTCCAATAGACCTTGACCAATTAGTATTTTATATTAGCAAGACTGTTGTCGAGTGTTAAGGCTCATAAACAGACTTATTATTAGAAATGTTTTGTAAAACAGTAATTGACAGATTTCAGTTCACTTTGTACGTAGTACAAAACAACCCTCGCCATTTTGTACTGTATACGTGAATATATTATTGGAATTATTATGAAATAATTTATCTAAAAAGGAGAACTTAATTCTTAACTAAAAAGAAAAAATAACGATGACCCTATCTATGTAACATTTTGATAAAATTTGTTCATTGTTAGTAAATCATACTGGTGCTAGTATACTATGAAAAGTTGTGCAAGGTTTACTCTTTAGATAGTTTCTTTTGAAACTATTTATATCCCATGACTTCACCCGCGTGCATCAGTACATATAGTACCCTATATGCTAGGTTAGAATATAACCTATCCGTGTACCAAATATCATTCAAATCCGTTCAGTAGTTTTTGCGTAAAAGAGTAACAAACATTCGTCCTCACAAACATTCGTGTTAGTATTAGGATTTTCAACCTGTTATTAGAGCTCAAGCCCTTTCCTGGTTTATTTTAATCATCATCATCAGCCTCTAAGTTGGGACAGCAGCGTTCTTCTTAAAATAACCCGTTAATATGGCATAACTGGGGTTGCCAACCCACCTGCCAAGTGTGATAATCCTTGGCCAAACTTCCCTTTGGTGGAAGCCTATGTTCAGCAGTGGACAGTTAATAGTTGATATGGTGCGATATGCAGTATAAAAAAGTAACATAAAATGTATATCTAGTAACCCTAGAACTACAACTATGTTATCATGTTTCCTATGATTAATTTAGAAAATTGGAGCGGCTGTCTGTTTAAATTACATTGTGATTCTCTATGCTTGGTATGTGAATGACATTATCAATTTTAAGACGCATCATAGGTGGTCTCTGTGCTCAGATGCATTAGTATATTTATTTAGATAGATAATTTATTTGCATTACTTACAGCACACAAACAACAATATATATAAATGCACAGTGAAAAAAGATAAAAAAAAGATACATGTACAAAAAATTAAAAAAATAAAAACAAAATGCATAAAATTAGTAACAATTTTTCCCTTTCATGCGTGTGCCACAGTAACACAAAATGGTCACAACTCAACTAATTGCTTTGCCCTAAAAAGAGCAAAACACTGATATTCTGTTGTGGCCAAAATTTATATATTTTATTGATTTAATTTTTTCATTAAATATATTTTTATATACCTACAATATAGTACTAGTTTTTACCGATTCGACGAAGATGTGTTAACTTATCGGAAAACGTAGCCTATGCCCTTTTCTATCCCGTATAATATAATATCTACATATATATCAAATTTTATAGTGTTTTGTTAAGCCTTTAAAACGCCAAAAGATAAAAAACAAACTCACTTTCACATTTATAATATCAGTAAGGATTTAATATCTATGTGCGTCTTTATGCTATTGGAATTAAGTTCAATTTTCCGGTTGTTTCTGTTAAAGAAACCGAACTTATTTAATTCCAGTTAAAAATATATTTTATCATAACACTACATGTTTTTCAGCAAGATAACGTAAGAGATCGAAGCAACGACACTTCAGTGATTTCTTAATATCACTATGTATTTCTTGATATCCCTAATAATTCTTATTTCACGAATAAATGTGCTGAGTGTTGTCATTGTCTAAAATATAGTAGATTGACTACCTACTATACTGTAAGAAAGAAAGAAAAAGTTATTATTAAATTTAATAATAGTACAATCGTAACTATTTTTAAAATATATATTGTTAAAAAGGAAATAGATTTATGTCCTGTATTTTGTTTTATACGTCACCCAGATACACTCTCTGTTTCTGATTGACAACTATTTACCTACATTATGGAATGCAATAAATAAATAATTATGATGTATATTTGCCAATTCTATCGTAGGTAATATGCTCACTTGTGCGGTTTTGTTATAATGTCGACCCGCCGGCAATGTCTACAATAAACTTTCCATTAATTTTACTTTTTAATTCGCTAAAAATGTCATCGGCCTTGACTTTTTTTTGTCCGCCAAACCATTTACACATCTTTTAACAGTTACATCATAATCGAATGATTCTATCCTATATGAGTACATAACGTATGTTAGTATGGGCTTTTTTTACTCATTAAAAATTGTGTCAACAATTTTTTGCGTTGCTATCAGTGTCTCGAAACTATTAAGGTTAGTAAAAATATGTGTAACTTACGAATAAATAATCGTTTAAATACTAAATTAATTTTACTTATTTATTTATTTTTTAAGCTCATATTATTTAATTTATTTTATATTTTTTTATTTCTTTATTATTATTTATAATTAAATCGCTACTCTTAAATTTAAATTTTCCCGCTGTTTACACATTATGGAACTCGACACGATTACTACTATAATAGTAATTATATACTTGATTTTTTTTATAAAATATTTTATATTTATTTGAAATGTCAGCAATAAAAATCAAGTATGTAGGTGCTATTACTTGCAAGATAATCCTGTCGCGTTAAGTTACGATCATGAATTTAAATAAAAATCGTAATATTGTGTATGGGTCTACCTTGATATGAGAAAACGGTTGTAAGGATCAATCAGTCTAATCAATAATCTACTAGCTAATCCGACAAACGTTGTTGTGTCCTATAAATATTTATTTCTGATTTTTACACACTAATGACCTAGCAGTAAGAAATATCTATCTTATCCTACCAAGTATACATAAAAAATTTCATTAAAAATGGTCGAGCCGTTTCAGTAATTCCGTAAATATCGATACACGAGATTTTTATATTTATACATTTATATAAACTATTTTTAATTTATCTACTTTGTAATTCGCTTCTAGACTTTTTTAAATTCTTTTTTGCCGTCATAATCCTTTTCGGTGATACCTTAATAAGAGTTTTATTCTATAATTAACGTTTTAATTACATATTAGGATATTTTTTTTAATCAATTAAAAATTTTGAATACATACAGAAAATTGTTTTGTAAATTGACAAATGAATCCAACGTTACTACGCTTTGCTATGAATACTCTTAAATTATTGTAATAGAAAAATATAATTTCGACCCGATAATGTGCAGTATGTGATTGTATGTATTTGTATGTTGTAATAGGTCAATAGAGTTTATCGCACAAATTGAGATACTCCGTTTAAATGTTATCTAAAATGAAACGTACTTTGTGTTATTTTGAAGCAGCATCAAAATGTCAGAGATTCTCAATTTGACAGTAATGTTTCTTGTATGCTTATTTTTTGTATTTTTGCTAAATATTCAGACAGTTTTTAAAGATTCTTTTACATTTTTGGGCGGCGGTAGTCACTACCATCAGGTGAGTCGCATGCTCGTACGCCCCCTGTGTTGTAAAAAAAAAACTTACTCCCACGTTGATCTCATACTATTTAAATTTTGTAAAGCGAAACCTTAATTTCTTATTTAAAATCTAATCTATTAAAGTTAAGAATATATACGATTTTTTTTTATAATAATATATAATAAAAAAATAAACTATAAAACTAATTTTACATTAAATATAGCTGTTATAGATCACATAGAATCGATGCCATACCATATCAACAGTTACTTGTCCATTGCTGAACATAGGCCTCTCTCTATTGGGGGATTTGTCACTTGCCACTCTTGATGGGCAGGTTGGCACCCGTAGTTAGGCCTTGGAGATGTTTTAAGAGTGACGGTGCTGTCCATCTCTCGACCATTAAGCTCCTTTAGTCGCTTTTTACGACATCAACTGGAAAGGACCGTGTGGCTTATTCTATGCCGGGACCACACAGCGAATCAATAGCTAGTAAAATACCTGAAATTTCAAGGATCTCTCAAAGATCATCTCTATCGCAATACAGCATACACGTTTTTGATTTATTTACATAAATTATTCACAAACCGTTGTGACTTACGTCACTGTGACTTCTTGAGTCTTATTTCCTTGATCGAGCGACGCGTGGACGTCTGAGGTGTTCAAACAATCATTTACTTATTTACATTTAGTTACTTAGGTACTAGAGGGAGGAAGGGACTTGCCTGTAGTTGTCACGCTTCGCAGGCAGATTGGCAACTACAGTTCGACTTTTGGTTATGTTTTAAGAGAGACACTGTTGCCCATCCCTCGACCGTTAAATTTCCTTAGTTGGCTCTTACGACACCCAAGGGAAACGAAGGGGTAGCCCTTTCTATGTCGGATCCACACGGCTCTATTAAACTACTACACTATTTTATTTATTTCTTATTGCATTCCATAATGTGATTGGTAACATTTCTACTTCAATTATGGACCCTGTTGGGCACAGCAAATAGGAGAGCGTATGTGTAAATTGTACACATCTAAATTGGGTGTTTCCAAAGAAAAAAGGCTTTTTTTAATGACGCGCTTTTCAGTATGACGATATACATGCTCAGAAATTTATGTGTCAACTCAAGATATTACAAGCAAATAGAGGGACAAAAGTTAAAAAGAAACTCCAAATTATTTGGGGTCACCCAGCGGGATGTTACCGACACATCTCGTCAAATTTCGAAGATAAACTCAAAAATACAAATTCTTAAGTATGTCTGTTTGTATTGATCTGGGTGTTTTTTATGTATAAGTATCAAGTCTAGTACTCATAGTGTTGATCATATCAGCTGATAACTTTCCACTGTTGACCATAGATCTCCCCCTACTTGGGATTTTGCTAGTAGTCAACACGCTTGGCAAGCACAGTTCAGGACCATTTGTTATGGCAGTCTATGAGTGCAGCCTATGTTCAGCAGTGGATAAATAACGGCTGATATGATAATGATAATGATCTCCCATATCCAGACGTCGTACATTTACAGTTTTATTATATTAAGAAGATACCTAAATTATCTATTCTCTTTCTAGGTAAATACGAGACTTTATTGGACGACTCTCTACTAGCGCTCAACACAATCAACGCATCGTTTATCAAGTTCCCGCGGCTCACGCACACGTCAGGCACTTCAGACAAGTTGTACAGGTATTTCTCGCAGTTGGACCTTCCACTCATCAGGAAACTGTACAAATTGTACATGAACGATTACAGGATATTTAATTACGATCTGGACAATATCGTCGGCTTCGATTTAGGTTAAAACAGAAAAACTTATACCTATAAAGAAGATTATTTTGGTTGTATACATGTAGATTATTTTTACATCATGCGTTACATCCTTGTATACATGTTATAATGCAATAATTATTATAAAAGCGATAACATTTTATACTTACATAATTTTTTTTATGCACTTAACTGGTGGCATTCTTAAAGATCGATAACATTTTGTTGACGTGCAATTTTTATTTGATTTAATATATTGTAATATATCATTTTATAATAAAATATCTCTAAATATTGTACTTTCTCATAGTTTTTTTTTTTCTTTATTTGGTCATGGTAACGTTTAAAAAAATAGTACGAAAATTAATTTTGTAAATTAACATAATTTTACAAATCTTATTATTGCATGTAAATAATATTATAGACCTTTTAGAATGTTATAAGCTAAAAGTGGATAGCAATAACAAAATTGTAAAACAATACACGTTTTACAATATTTATAAATTAAAAATTCCACTAAGTGCCAATAATCAACATCATCAATACAAGTTACAATGTTGTATATCGTTTAGTCAAGTAATACATTTAATGGTGCCAGTACTAAACTTAAACTAAAAGCTAATGGTTGTAATTATTATTATTATTTTTTAAATATAGTAATACAAAGAAAGTTATTAATTTTATAATTTGAATAAGCGATGTTTTATATAAATATTACAAAGAATTAGCATTCAATGTAAATTCATCATCATACGAGTAGTGTCTTATTGACAAGAATGAGGTAATGTGCAAGTTAAATAGATGTAAGCGACCAATACCGAAGCCAAAGGACAAATTATTTATATAAGGGCTGTAATCAAAATGGTTGAAATCCTTTGAAGGGAATGTTCTACTAACGAAACAGAACACTTTCTCAAAAGAAATGGCTTGAAAAACGATAATAAATACTGGGCGTCCCTTATTAATGCAACTCGTATAGGTGCATTAAAAAATTTACAAATTTACTAATTAAAGTTAGTATAAGGAAGTTGTTTGTTGGTTTTAAATTTTTTGATTCGTGAAATTTCTTCCCTTTTACTTTCTAAAACATAGGTAGAGTCTTCTTTTTTAGGTGTATTGTTTAGGCGTAGTTGCCACGCTTGGTAGGCAGGTTAGCAATCGCAGTTAGGCTTTGGTGATGTTTTAAAAGAGTTCCATAAGTTCTCCTAGTCGTCTCTTACGACACCTATGTGAAAGAAAGAGGTGAATCATTCTATGCTGAGAGTTTATGCATCTTTACTCACTGCTGACGATTTTAACTACATCCTGTAAGAGTAAGCACGTGGTTTAAACAGTTCTATTATTTGTTTCCAATACTAAAAGTCAAGATGTCAATCGCCATTGTTCTTATTATATTACAAATGTGAGTTTATATGTTACCTATTGGCGCCTCAGTGACTTAATTAATTCTTGATATTTAGCATACATTTAGAATGAAGAAGGACAATGATTACTTTTTATTCCGGTCACGCGAATGAAACCGCGGGAGGCGGTAGCGATATAGGATACTATATAGGAAATTGATCACAGCCGTTAACGTAAAAAGGTTCATAAAATACTTATCTAATTACGGAGAATTTATTAAAAAAAAAGTACTTTGGACTCTATGCTTGCCTCTATTTGTTTTAAAATTGTGTTCCTAAATTAAACTTTTAAATCACTCTGGCCAGTTATAATGATATGCATATTTTGATTACGCCATCAGACAGATACGAAACTGCCAGTTCATATATAAATTATTTACATCTATAGGTTTAAAATTGGCAGTTTAGTAATACATAATTCTTTTATTACAATAATTCATATTTGCATATTTTCTTTCCTTTCTTGTTTTGATATCCCACTATGAATAACCCAAAATGCCCAGTTTCAAGACGTTTATATTTATTGTTGGCGCTTACATCAATTTAGCTCTGTACGCCTGTTGTACTTATTGCGTTGTGTGTATGTATTTACGTAATAATAGTTATTATCTACTTCTAACATAAGACAATGAACAAAGTCACACCTACACTGCCAGCACAATATGTAGTTATTGTTAACATGCATTATAATTATACTTTCTTGACCAACCGATAAAAGGCATCTTCATTGTTGGGACAATTTTCTATGGTAAGTAAGGGTGTGTAATATATAGCAATATCTATGTATTGTAGTTACGATATTTATCAATATATAAATATAGTCCAATAAAGAATATGTTCAAAGTATGTTATTCAAAAAATTATATTGGATAACAGCTTTTTAACATATTCGGAAATAGATATCCGACTAATACGAGTGATATCAAAATGGCTGATAACTTTTTTCCACCATCAATAATGCCCAGAGTAACCCAATATATAGATATCGGATCGGTATCCATATTACCCATGCCTGTTTTCAAGTAATTTTATTTTTGTTATACAGGTTGAAATTTATTATATATATATATATATATATATATATATATATATATATATATATATATATATATATATATATATATATATATATATATATATATATATATATATATATATATATATATATATATATATATTATATATATATATATCAAGCCTTTTTTTCTTTTTATTCCACCAGCTCCACGCTTAAATTGCGTTTTTTTTAACTTTTAGGAGTTTTTTCGTATTTTGTAAATAAAATTGTTTTTTTTTTCTTATATAATAAACTTTATTTTATGAGTATTTATAGAATACTATATTATAATTCTTAATTCTAATCTTAATAATTCTTTTTGATATGGTACAAAATCAATGTGTGTGGTGTGTGGAAAGGGTTAAGAGACAACATTCTCTTAAAAGGTGGTAACTAAGATCAATGACACTGAACATTTTTTCCAAAGAAACATCAGTCGAAAATCAACATACGTTTTCGATTTCAGCCTATATATAGGTTGTTTATAAATAAGCTGGTTTTTTTCTTTTTGTATTAATTTTAAATGAAAATACCGTCTGGTGACGTGATATATTTTATTATTATTTACTTATTTTTAATTTTGATTTTTATAAAAAACTATAATTATCAATTTTTGTGAATGTTCATTTTGAACATAGGTTAGTCATAAAATACCAATCTGAAATTCAGTGATGCTTTCATATTCTCGCGATTTGTATGAAAACTTTAAAAAATATTTTGAGATTTCCACTAAACTCCTAAAAAGTTGTTTCGTTTCATAATATTTAGTTATTTTCGACAGGTTTCGGTCCATAATATTATGACTAACTCTTTATAATAGCAATATTTTAATAACCGATAAATTAAGTATAATTTTGGTGCATTTATATTATAAATATGTACAATATGTAAGTATTTAGAGCCTAAGGGAGATATGGGATTTGTCTAGATTTTTTTTTATATTTTTGTAATGAAAAGTTTCTAGTTCATGTTGCCTAATCTAATTAGGTATATAAGTGTGTATTTTTTATCATGATAACTCTTTATAATTAGTCTTTTAAGTATAAAATTTCCAAAGGAATGCGCAGACGATGGGAATGTTTAGGCCGTATACATACATGTATGCATTGTAGCAATTAATTTTACAAACTTATACCAGAGAAGAAAAAGTTCATAAAGGGGAAATTTTTGGCAGACAAAATGTCTTTTGTTTATATATATATATATATATATATATATATATATATATATATATATATATATATATATATATATATATATATATATTTATGTACAATAGGCAGTAAAGAGCTTGTGACTCACTAACTTATTTCCATCACCATAGGCATCCGCAAAATCAGAGTACTTGCAGGTGTGTTGCCAGTTTTTTTTTTTTTTTAAGAAGGAATATGCTCTTTTCTTAAAAGTTTCGGGTTATACAGTGATGACATTTAGCAGCTGGTATTAATCCGAATAATTCCTCTGCACGTTCCCTATGATATATATAAAAACGATGTAAAGAAATACAACATCTTTACCCTATAAGAGAATGAATTTAACGTGACCGTAGTTAGGTAATATACAATCAGTCAATCATCAGTCACCTAAGTTTATATACATAGTATATTACCAAATTACTCCAAACCTTTGAGAAGTTTATGTCACAAGTAAATACATAGTAGCTAAGGCAGACATTGCTACATTATTGATCTTGTAATCATGGTTTATATCAAACCTCGTTCAAACGTGGAGATAAGCCGGATAATCGATTATATATTACCTAAATATAATAAGTGTCATTATGTATCTTGCAATGCTGAATTCTAAAATTTTAAATGTCCTCGTCTGCGTATTTCATTAAGGTTGTAATAAATATAGATGAAATTACGAAACGGTCGTTCACATAAATAATAATGTGACCTCACCTTCCTAAACGAGTGTTCAAAGTTCGATGGATTTCTTTCGTCTTAGTTAACAAAATTTTTTGGCCTACATACGATATTATAAATATTATTGGTAGTGTTCCAAAGTTTTCTGTGATAATTTATAGGAAATAAATTGATAAATTAACAAAAGCAATATTTTCTTAAGCATTTAAGAATTCTTCATTGATAATATTTGTATTTGAATCGTTAATTGATAACGTATTGTATACAATTGGATAAGTTATCAAAATACAAGTTTTGTTGTTCATCTCGTGTTACTGATGCGATAAATATATTATTATATTTCAATATTTTTGTTGTATTAATTTTTAACCCTTATAGAGGTTTTCGTATGGTAACCCTGTACAAGCAATAATAATTCAAGGCGACCTCACTAAATACAAAAATGACATCAACTGCGTCGTAGTATTAATAGATTCTAACGAATGAATTTCTTAATTCTACTATTTTTTTCTGTTACCCATCCCTAAAAGAAGTAGGTTCTCATTTCTACTATATTGCTGTGATATTTTCGGTAATAAAATTCGGAATTTGGTAATAATTATTTAAATTATTTGTAAATAGATAGATAGATAAATAATTCATGAAATTATAAGCGAAATAAAAAAAATTTGTAGGTTGCGTTAAGCTGCGCAGTGTTTGTAGTAGCGCTGATTTTCTGCTGGTATCTTATACTTTTATACCAGAGGCAGACTTTGTACAACTCGTTTGCTTAGGCACCTCGTCCCATTCGTGTTTCTACCGTAAAGCAGTTGATTTTGCATGGCTTTGTTTCGTTTTGAAGGGTGGGATATGACAGTAAATTTACGAAGTACAAAGGAATAACACCTGAGTCCTCAGGAATGGCAGCGCATGGAGGATATCATGGGATGACAGTATAGACATAACTCTGTTATGTCCATGGTACTGCTCATATCTATATGTGACGGTTACCACTTTCCATCTATGTTGCATAAAATAATAAATATTTTTGTCATAATACGTAACCATCTTCGTATTAATATAAACTGCCTACGATTTAGTTAAATAAAGAATAAACAAAATATGATAATTCCAATGAAAATTGAGACTTGACATATTTGGCCGCACCAAATTAATTTTGCATTTATGCATGTAGATAAGTACTGATTGTCACAAATTTCGTAGTGTGACGTCTTTATTAAATTATTCGCTTCGAACGCAAATTTATATATGGAATGATGTAACATGACACTAACTTGCCTCCAATATCTAGCAAGTTCTTTGCAATGTAGCAAAAACGCGCTCCACAATATTTTTTCAAGCGATTTTAAAGATAGGTATATTTTTATTCAAGTAAACTTAGATTTAAGTATTTTTGAATAGTATTTTTTTTTTCATTACCGATATTATCAAAAAATAGGTTTTCAATTCGGTTGATTTTTTAAATATTTGTCACCTCTTAACTCCGTCGGTTACAAAGCGCTTTAGAAAATTCCTTTTTTTATCTGATAGGATATACTCGTACAGATTTATTCCGTAGAATTTTTGTAAAAATTAGCTTACTAGATTAGTTTTTATATTAAATAACTGGTTCTCCTTAATTGATGTCGGTTTTTTTCTGGCAGCAAAAAAAGACGTAAATCGTTATGACGTGATCGATTTACTTATTCCTATCAACAAACTAAATAGATATGGTTATGAGAGAAACTAAATCGGAACTCAAATATGGTATTGCTAAATAATTAATCATCATCATTATTAACTCAGCCATTATCTATCCACTGCTAAATATGGGCCTCCCCCATAGATTGGCATAAGGAACGGTCCTGAGCCACTTGCATCCGCTGACCCCCTGCAATGGGTCGTCACTCCATCTAAAGGGAGATCATCCTACACTGCTTTTTCTCGTACCGAGGCGCTTACATTATATTCTGCATTTGATTTTTTATCTATATAAATTGATTTCATATTGGTCTTTGGAATAAAGATTTTGCTGTTGTATGGGACTTAAACTTTAATTAATAGTTCTTCAGTATGAATTCGAATGTAACTTTTTAAAAACTCTATACTGAAAATAGCAGATATATTTTTTTGTTTTTGTTTTTTTCAGAATCGGTAACACGCGCGTAATGCCATTTGTATTGTTAGGTTTCATAGGCTACAATAACCGCTTACCATCAGGTAGTTTATATGTTATGTAGTATGTCAGGTAGTTTTTATTTTATTATAGTATATTTGTCATCTCAGTGGCATAAAAAGAACGGTTAGTCTACAAATATTATAAAATTGAAAGTTTGTTTAGAAGTCTGTTACTCAATTAGCCTTAAACAGCTAAACGGTTTTGATGGATATTTTGCCCACGGGTACTTACGTATTAAATACGCCTTACGTATTAACTGTATGTCAACTTAATACGTAAGGCGCTATATACTGATTCGCGCAGGCAATACTGCGTTAAACAACTAGTTATATAATTAAATTTTAAACATTCATGAGGCAATAACCTATGTATATGTTCTACTAATTATGTAGTCGATAATGAATTGAGTTTATATTTAAAACGATATGGTCACTACAGTAGTATTTATACCTACAATAGGTTACGATAATAAATAGTTTAATTAATAAATATTAATGTTAACATAAAATTTTTATAAAATAATAGTTTGACCTCATTTTACATTCAGCATCGATAGTACACATATTCAAATTTTCAGATCTCTTTTACTCCGTGACGTATGTAAATTAGTTATATACAATGGTAAATATACGCGATTGGAGACGACTCTGAGGCACCATTTCTATAAACCTATTTCTAAAATTAAAATTTTTATTTGATAACACAGCAAAATTTTTGTTGTAAGGATCAGTATGAACAAATTTTCTAATTAATTGTAAATGATTATGACTTAGTTAATGGTGGTCCATAAAACAGTTATCATCTCCGCCATTATCTGTCCACTGCTGAACATAGGCCTCTCCTATAGACTGCCATAAGGAACGGTCCTGAACCACCTGCAACCACTGACTACCTGCAATGCATTTAAGGTCGTCACTCCATTTAGTGGAGATAATATATAACATACTACACAATAACAACCATAAAATAACAATTTCTCGAAATTAACAAATTATATTAAGAGATAAATTTAGGGAAATAGCGCTTTAGAATCAGTCCCATTGTATATATTTGGTTAATGTTGACCTTGTTTAGTTTATGACACATATGTATTTATTATGCACTTATTATATAAAACAATGTTTACGAATGTGGAAGTCAGTTTCAGTAACCCTAGTTTTGAAGTTTATATTATATTATTATCTATTTTTCTTCTTTATAAACGATAAGGGATATTTCGGAATACACAAAAAATTTATTTATGTGTATTCCGAAATATCCCTTTATCTTCCAGATTTATTTATCCCACACTAAATCTTGTAAGATTTTTCGAAGGCTCAATGCCTCGTCGATTGTCTTTCATCGTTTCGAATTGTTTACTGCGTTGTCGACGTTGGAATTCCGGGACAACGGTAGCAAGATATTTTTATGACACTAAAAATAACAAACAAGCTGACGCCCCACCTGATAGGAAGTGGTATAGACATAAACAACACCATGGGCCTAGTGACAAAAACCTCGCTGTGTTACTTTTCTTTCTTAGATCACTCGGTTTCATATGCTACCGTAACAAAACAGCGATGGTCCAAACTTCCTCCACTTTTAAAAGGCATATTAAAATACAGTAAAAATTTAAATTATTTATTTATGCTTTTAATTATTCACACTAATAATCCATAAAAATATAACAGAGATAAGTAAATGTACAAAGCGAGCTTAATTTTACAAGAGTTCTCTAGCCACAAACTTAAAGTGAAAAAAAGCATCAATGTCAGCAGTTAGAGCAGGGGAATTATCTTTTTAATTAAATATCTGTTATTTAAATAAATAAACCACCACTTAAAAAGTTCTTTGTTTTATGTTTTCCTATTAGATAAAAATGTAGATAGGCAGATACGAGTAAATCGGTTGATTGTTTGAAACAAAACATGTTACCTAATGAATATGATATTGATATAGGAATACAGTAATAACCTTAAAAAATACTTGGTAGGTATTTAATTCATCATCAAAACAAAAGAGAATCGAATTGGATTTTTTTAGAACGCCACAATCACTCCTGGACTACTAAAACTGTCAAAATTTTTTTTTAACTTTTCTAACGTGTGTTATGAAATGAAATAAGATGAAAATTGCATAATTTATTAATTTAATAATATTTGAACACTGATAGGGACATCATCTACGTCATTATTAACTTAAAGTCAAGTAGGTACCTCTAATGCTATAATTTATTAGGTCTAAGGTAATTGTGTCCAATAGTGTCCTCGGGCAGTTTGCATTCCTTCCACGATGTAGAATGAATCTTGAATGGACCGCTACCTGATAATGTTACTGCAAAAAAAAATATTTCTTAGAAAATCATCATTAATGTTTTTTTTTTCTACTTAAAACAAGCTATCAGCTCACTCGATGGAAAGTGGTAACGTTGACTATAGACACAGTAACATGGACATAACAGAGTATACTGTGTCACCTATATTACACTTCATGCGTTGCTATTTCTGAAGACTATGGTGTTATGCCTATGTATTCTGTAATTTCAGTGCTATGACACCCATTCTTTAAACGGAATCACAGTTATGTAAACACAACTGCTTCTAGACGAATGAGACAGAGGTGCCCAAACACCTCTCTATTATAATTTATACACAAAACGATTTGTATATAAATTATAATATATATCATGCAAAAACAATACGATACATAGAAAATTATATTATTAGTATCTTTATAGTTATTTTTAATAAAACTCTTAATATATTATAGGTATATTTTTAATATCTTTCATGTACATACAGTTTAGTTACAAATTTTATTATATTAGTTTAATAGTTTGGTATCAGTATACGTACGCTTCGAACGTACACCAATTTTGTCCCTGACCAAAATAAACGACGAGAAAAGATGATAAACAGATATGTTTACCCTGCCCTTAATTCATCATAAACTGATAATGTACCACCGGATGTCTATATCGAGGATAACCAACATAGTTCATACTAGTCTTTAAAATAAGGATACAGTTGGGATATCAGTTTGAAATAATAATTTAAAAAAATCCAACATATTACTTCAAAAGTGACCTCATAGTTATTAACTGCCAATATCCAAACAACAACGGACAAAATTTTAGAAGAAACACCGAAAATGTCCTTATTTTGAATTTATTCTAAATAAAATAAAAAAAAATAATAAACTAAGATTGAGTCCCACAAAAAAATCCGACTTCAAAATAACTGGCAAAATAAACTACTACTAGGCCGATTTTAATAAAATTTCTATACGATCAATCTGTAAGTAAATATATCTTTTCCGGTAAAAAAAAATATTTCCCAAATTGTCTCTTTCTTTTAATTGTCTTTATTTATTAACCTCTATTTTTTTTTATTTTGTTGAAAATGTAAAATAATTGATTTTAAGAGAATTTCTCAATATATAATACTAATGTAAAAAAAAACATTTCCTTATTTAACTTAGAAACATTATATAAATTAGAAAAAATCTACAACTATGTTTATGAATGTCAGGAGATTATTATATTAATCGTTAAACAGGGTAAACGTCGATTTATGACATTTTATTCCCAGACAAAATTTTCCTCACCTTCCTAGGCTTTGAGTTTAACGAAAGACAATCCTCGGCGTAAACTTTGATTCGGTAATAATAAATCCATTAAAATTGCATGCACACATATATACATAGTTTAAGTAAGACGATGGACATTTTGTCCATTATTTATAAAGAGCTTTACAAAATTTTTCGATCATTACCTGACATTCCCGGGACCAGCGTGATGTTGTACTTTCCGTCATTCATTGTTAGAGGCCACTCGTCGTCGAGTGACTCCACGACCAACGTACTACTAGTCTCCGATATACTCAATGTTAAATTAGCGCCCAAGTACTTTATACCTGTAAATTATAAACACTTGTAATAAATGTACGTTATTGTATGTTAAAGGTTTTGTACAAAAGTCGTTTGCTTGGATACCTCTGTCCCATTCGTGTTTCAACCGTAAAGCAGTTGTGTTTGCATGGCTGTGTTTTGGTTTGAAGGGTGGGATATGGCGTGAATTTACAGGGTACAGAGAAATAACACCTAAGTCCTCAGGAATGGCAACGCATGGGGGGTATCATGGATGAAACAGTATACTCTGTTATGTCCATGCTATTGCTCATGTCTATAGGCGACGGTTACCACTTTATATCAGGTGGGCCATCAGCTTGTTTGCCATTCTAAATTGTATAAAAAATATATATATTTTAATGTAATAGCAACCGAATTAATTTACGTGTATTTAAGTCGCGAAAACTCGTCATGTAAGATGGATATACCATTGTTCTCAACAAAAGATTACATTAACTTTTATTTAGTAAACTTATTAAAAAAATATAAACTAGACTAGTTTCTAAACCTTCCGGGATCTTTAGTTATGAGCGGTTACGATGCGCAACGCAAGCCTTACATTGTTATTATTAAAGTAAAATATCATGTGTCTTGTTGCCTAGTAAACTAGGTTTAAAATTGCTGTACTAATGTAATAAAATATTGTATGACAGCTTTCATAGCCTTCAATCTGGTATATTTTTGTCGTAGAAATAGAATCGCAAGTACTATGTTTAATCTATAAATTAGAATTAATTATGAATTATCCTAGTGATTAAGTACAATATGGTACAATACTTATATGTGCTATCTTTATATATGTTTGATTTATTAGATAAATAGATTAAGGATAATTAAGAACTATTGACTAGTAACAAATCTAAAAAATATACAATGTTATAAAAATAAATATATATATGTAATTTTTTTTCTACAATTAAAAAATACACATGAAAAAAACTATAAATGAAAATAAGTCCAAACATATATTTATTTATATAATTTTATTGAAGTATCTATTAGCGCTAGGAAAACTAGACCTTCTCAGACTATTATACCCTAGAAAGAGTATTACCTACTAACACTGAAGAAACTAATATCTAATAACTAGCTAATTTTTTCTACTAATCCTAGAGAAACAAAAACTCCAAGGGTATAAAAACATTCCTGTAACGATTTCTGCACATTATTCGAACATAAACATTGAATATGAATGTGAAAGTGAAAAGGAAGATCTAGAAAAAGAAGAATGGACTGTGTGAAGTATGACATGGCCAGAAAAGAAGTAACTAGTGAGATGACGTCAAATAGAGATGAGTGAAAGAAGAAAACATATTACGCCGCCAAATAGATATGATAAAAGGCATAAATAAGAAGAACCTTCGAATAGACTTCAATAATATAAATTGAAATAACAAATAACGAGAACTTATTTGAAATTAAACCAATATATTTCAAATCATTAAATTGAATTTCGTGTAGGTTAACTAGTGCAACAAAGTTGAATGAATTATTATTTATCTTTGTACTTAAACAAGTAAGAGGATTATGATTTTTTTTTTTTATTACACTTAATTTTAAATAATCACTTTTAATGAATATTTAATCTTTGTCCTTGAAATTTATTTATTGCAATATTTTACCCTTTATTAAGGACATGCATTTATTGATTGATTAACTAATAATGCAGATATTATATGAGTAATCACTGCAATATTCGAGCGAAATTTTCCATGATAAGAATGTTTTGATATTTAGTCTCTACTTTCAAGAAGCGTTGTTCTTTGTAGTGGTTTAAAGATATATATATATATATATATATATATATATATATATATATATATAACCACATAGGGTCGATAATGGATATTGCTAACAATAGGGGTATCAATCTACATTCCTAACAATCCCTTTCCCCACCCCTTAAAGATATATTACCATTATTTAGAGACCCAAAAAGTCGTTATTTCGAACAGTGATCATAAGCAAAGCCTCTGACTATCCCTATAGAAATTAGCTTTAATAAAAAAAGTTTGATTTGTTTATGATAATTTTTCTTCTAAATATTATGAGATTTAAAGTTTATACCTATATAAGTATTGTTAAAGTTATAGTTTAATACCTTTTTTTTTTTACTATGTGAATAACTCGATCAACAGCGAGATAATTATAGCATTGTATCGTATTAAAGCATAATTAACCTTCCGTAAACAACTTTGCTATGATAATTATAATGATTTTGCTGTGATTAATTCTTGTGGAATTCATCACGGTGGGCTGACCTGCTTTAATCTTCACCTATCATCCTTCACGGGTACCTCGCTACCGTATACCGATAGCGCTGGCGGGGTAACCATTCCATTAAAAAAAATAAGTATAGCAGTGGAGCTGTTAAACTTAATTATAATCATTTTGCCCCTTCCCCCTAGAATTAACATTTTTTTAATAGATGGTAATGGAGCAGTAACCTCGCCTGCGCTAACGGTATACGCGGGCAAGACACTAGCGAGGAATAATAAGTGAGAATGAAAAGACAGGTCAGTTAGCTCATCGTGATAAATACACCTGGAATTTAGCACGATGGTTTCTAGGGAAGACCACATGGAGGTCGACCGAACAGGATATATTGTTAGCAATGGAATTAGTAGTCTGCATTACTAACAATCCCTTCCTCTCAGGACTAACATGTTATGTCTCCATACCCTATAATTACACTGTCATATTATATCCTTCAAACCAAAATATAGACACAAAAGACAGCTATTTGGCTGCAGAATTCCGAGAGAAGCAGAGATATTTGCTGACATTTATACAAAATTTCCACTACAAGTACAATTTCCAATTTAAATAAAATTTAGATTGATGCCCGAACTAATTGATATAAATAAATAAACCTTACATCGTAATCAGAAATCATGATATTAATCTCTTTACTTTATTTTTTTAACAATATATGAATGAAAACAATTTGTTATAATCCCTGATTAAAAATGAAAAGTAATTGTTTTTTAAAGATATCTCAAGTTACAAGTACATATATGTATATCTACAAGCAAAAAACTCATTTGTTGATACTATCAAAGTTAAATTTACAAATTGAGAATTTTGTGTTTCCTGCTCGTACTAGAGGTGGGAAATATGTTTTTTTTTATACAACTTAGAATGGCAAACAAGCTGACGGCCCACCTGATGGAAAGTGGTGACCGTCGCCTATAGACATGAACAGTATCATGGACATAACAGATATACTGTTTCGTCCATGATACCCCCCCATGCGTTGCCATTCCTGAAGACTTAGGTGTTATTCCTCTACACCCTGTAAATTCACGCCATATCCCACCCTTCTAACCGAAACACAACCATGCAAACACAACTGCTTTACGGTTGAAACACGAATGGCAACAATATTTATATATTTTAATTACAATATATATTTATTGGCTCAATAACACGTATATTAAATTGTCGGTTATTCAATATGTAATATCGAAATAGAGCCTGATCGAAATTAATACAGATATCAGACTGGTATGGGTGATATTGGTAGGGGTGGTAATTCTTTAGTGCAGTTTACTAGGCTTATTAACATTATGGATTGATAATTGGGTCTTCTCTAATATAATTGTTACTTAGTATACATTGATGCTTATTTGTGAGAGACACACCTTTAATTGATGTGTTCATATGGCCTTAAACTTGGTAGTGAGGAGTGAGATGTTTTTGTTCAAGTAAACTTAGATTTAAGCATTTTTAATAGTAGTTTTTGACTTTTTACTTACTTATATCATTGTACATTGTCTGCTTAATTGTTGTGAGCATATTGTTGGTGTGTCTTTTATAAATAAATAAATATCGAAATGGATAATATATATACGGATAACAACCTTTTTTTCATAAATATCCAGAGATACCCAATATATAGATATCGAAGTGGTACCGATATTACCAGTTACTAATACCTACTAAAATAGACGTACATCTTTATAAATAGCAGACGTACACGAGCATAACGGATGTGCCAGGCGTCATTGCGTGCAACGATCTACCCCATTCTACCAATTCATTTAATTTAAACTATACGGCAGTACAACTATATAGAGAAATAAAAATTGATGTCATCCTTTGAGTGTTTTATCAATGGAATTTTTTATCAAACAAAGTTGAATCAAAATGTCAAAAAATGCTTGCCGCCCTACTGATAAAATGCGCTAACCGTTACCTGTAGACATGAACAGCACCATGGACTTCACAGTAGTATCATGGTCATGCCAATCGTCCCGAGGATTATGGTGTTATGGTGCTTACAAATTATGTTAACTTACAAGCATTCATCACTTTAGACTATTGAAGTATAGCAACATTGCAAATATTTATCAATTTAATGTAAAAAAAATATTTGTCAGTTTTTAAAAAAAATTAAATTGAACATTTTTTATTGAACACATCACAAACTGAATATTTCTGTTCGATTATTTAAAAAGTACTCTTCTAGCGAACTAAAATGTTAATACGCTAGAATTTTATGGTATTTTTATGGTAAAAATACATATATTTAAAAAATTGCGAAGCAAAATATGAAGTAGGTGCAAAGTTTTTAGTGATAGATTTATATGCAACATTTTTATGATTAGCTGTTTGGTTCGATAACAGGGCTCTTTTAGAATACTTTCAAAACTCTATTACTAGGTTTACATTAAATAGAATTGGGTATGGCATATAAATGCAATGTCGACTGTATTGCAGTACCTCAAGTACTTGTTTCGATCGGTGTTAGTTTTTATTCATCTTCTTGTCACTCACTTTTAATATAATACTACTTAATATACTATATATCAACATTTTCTGTTGATTAAAATAATGATAAAATGTTTTTGCATGCAGTAACGATAACGGAATTCATATTGCAAAAATGAGTTTATAATAATATTTGCGGTATCAACATATTTTTATACTCAACAATATACACCAGCCATTGCACTGATAAATTCGTATGATACACGATATTTAAATTCTTTAGCGTCTGTAGTACTATTATCCAAATATCCCTTAATTTGTATGTGTTTTATAGTTTTCTTTTTGTTACTATTGTTGTTCTTTATATACAGATAGAGGGCTTTTCCCTGGCAACGTCATACTTCTTTTTTTTTTTTACTACGAAAGTGGCAAATAATCATACAGCCTGGTCTGATTGTAAACGGTCTCTGTAGCCTATTAACACCTGCAACACTAGGGGTGTCACAAGCGCGTTGCCGACCCGAAAAATCTCCAATTTATTACATTAAAGTATTTTATTTTTATATAGTTTATACACAATACATCTTAACTACAGTGGCGTGACCTCTGTATTATAACAAAGTTACGTTTCTAAATTTATTCTTATTATCCCCCGTAGGTTGCCCTGTCTGAAAATCAACATGCTAACATAGACCACGAATGTCGTTGCACTCAACACATACTCTGCTGAGTCACTGTAATATGAAATTTTTTCCTCCTACGTATTGCGTTGATTTAGTAGTTTTAGTATTATATATATTTTTTAAACCTCTGTATGCAATATATATTATATGTATTTGTGATATAAAATAATAAGTTTAGTCAAAAAATACAAGACATTTTATATAAAATCTGATACAGCACGAACATAAAAATAATACATTGTTCTAAAAAACCTCAGTGTCAACAGCCAGTATTAAAACTGCATATTAATATATAAAGCATATTTATATTTTTTTTATTTTTTCCTTTCTTTTTTAAATAAATCATAATCAGTCAGAAACATTGAAACTTGTTTTTGACAATTAACAGATAAGATCAACGTTTGCCACACTTCGGTAAGTTAAAGTTATGAACGGTATTAAAAATTAAATGTATTTATTTTCTCACTGTGATCATTTCTTGTAATTGTTTGTATCTATAATAAGTTTACTATTGTAATCTTTTGGAGGAAACAATAAATTTATTTATGGTACAAACCTCTAATCTTGAAGTTCGTAGTATTCGGTGGTAGTTGTGGTGTATTTATCTCGAGACGATCAAGATGGATGCTCACACCTGCATAGCCGAAGATCAAGGTTTGGAGGAACCCTCCCATTCCAGTGAAAAAGTTCACCGCGCCAACATTCGGTCGCTGGAGCTCGCTCCACACCTGTTCAAAAATTCAAATTTTGAATCACACATTCTTAAATTCAAATCGAATAAGTGAACTTTAAATGAATTATTCTCCCACGAAACTAAATATTTTCACCAAAGGATGACACGCTCCTTTGGTGTAAATATTTAATAGCGATGTTAAAAAATATTTTTGTTTTTTTTTCAGTTGAAATTTGAACAAAAGATATGCTTTAAAATTTGAGTATATAGAAATTTTATTAAAATCGGTTCAATAGATTAGTTTTTAAATCAAAACAACTGATTTAATTATTTAAACACAGATTAATTATTTTATTTAATATTATTTAGCATTCAGTATTACCTTAAAAGGTTCTCTAACATAGCCTTGATAACTTTTGTTGAACATATCGTTTGCCTTCTTGTCATCCTGCAGACGCAAGTGTCCTATGGTATGCATGCTCCACGTCATCGCGGGCCCAGAGCTACGCGTCACAGACTCGTAATATGACAGATCGTTGACCCTAGTCGACCTGAAATTGTATAGAACTCCTTCAATTTATAATCTCCTGGTTTGTAAATTGCAATTACAAATAATAAGTTCACGACGATAATCCCTAATCAAAGTGTTCAACACAGTGACAACTTGGCCAAAAAGTAATTATGTATTTTCAACCGACTTCAAAAAAGGATGGTTTCAATTCAGTTATGTGTCATTCTTTTATGTTTGTTACGTCATAGTCAGTTTTAAAACGATCTGAAAAATTCTTTTATTTTTATTTTATAACAGACTTTCAAATTGGCCTATAGAAATTTTATCAAAGTCGGTCCAGCAGTTTAGTTTGTAAATCAAATTAACCCTTCTTCGTATTATGGTGGAAATTTAATGTTATGACAGCATAACATTGAATGTCCAAAATTATATAAAAGAACAAGTTCACTTTAAATTGATCGTGTCTGGATACCTTTTTAATGTCCATTGCAAAAAAAAAAACATAGCTGTCAAATTTATTTTTTCAACCGTTTTTTCTTTAATTTTGAACAAGAATTATACTAATTGATTTATTTCACCAATAATAAAATCATGCAAAGAAGGGTCAACTGGTTTTGCCACACAATGTTTAGGAACACAATCTTCATTAATTTATTTTTTGTTATTAATATTACCTTCCTGTGAGAATTATTTATCGTAAAAATACAGTCCATTTATATTTCAAGCAAGCCGCTGTTTATTTTATCCAATACAAAGAGCTGATATAATAAAAAAAAAATTAGGAATAATAATAAAAAACCACCAACTTACATGTTCATGGGATATTGCAATGGAAACCCTAGTAAAACCACGTCTGCTTGTTTGATTTGTTCGCCCCTCTCGTACCCTGAGAACTGTGGGTGATAATCCAAAGTTTCATCATAAGGCAATGCTAAGCTCCAAGCGATATCAGCCCAGTGGTCTGGATCTTTCGCCATGTAGTACGATTTACAAAGACACGCCACGTATCTGAAAAGTGTAATGAAAACTATTAATTTAGTAGTCAAATCTAATTACAAGGGCAATGTAAACTATTCCAGGTTTTGTGGCCTAAGAATATGTTTTTTTTTATACAACTTAGAACGGCAAACAAGCTGACGGCCCACCTGATGGAAAGTGGTAACCGTCGCCTATAGACATGAGTGCCATGCACATAACAGAGTGTACTGTTTCGCCCATGATACCCCCATGCGTTGCCATTCCTGAGGATTCAGGTGTTATTCCTCTGTACCCAGTAAATTAACGCCATATCCCACCCTTCAAACTGAAACACAGCCGTGCAAACACAACTGCTTCACGGTTGAATGTTTACGATTACTGTAATTTACCAAAGACCTTAAACAAAAGTCGTCCGCATATCCCTGTCCCATATTTTTTTCTGCAATGAAGCAGTTGTATTTGCATGAATGTGTTTCGGTTAGAAGAGCATATGATATGACAGTGAAATTATGCCGTAAAATCATAGTTTTCAATAATGGCATGGAATGATTGAGAAGTATCATATGCATTACAATCACAATTTAGGCACTTTGTGATACCTATGTTGCTATTCAAGACTGGCAACGATTATCACTTTCTATCAGGAGGGCCTTCAGTTTGTTTGCCATTTTAAATATTATAAAAAAGAAGTTAAAAATCTTCACACAATATCCCTTAGTAATACCAAAACAACGGAGCAGACAAAATAATACCAAAAAGTCCCTTGCATTACCTAGCATAAATTTTCCGAAAATCTATACGCCGATTTCGGATCTTAATCCTCCTTTAGATAGCATATCGACTATCAAATTACGGTTATTTAGACTTCGTCGATACTTGTGAGTATTTGTTAGGTCTTTTATGCACTTTTTTAATTGTGTAGGTACCTATATTACGTCAATCGTTCCTTTGATATTTTTCTACATGTTCAAATAAAAAATTTCTTGTTCTTAGGTTAAAACCAACTTTCTTCCAACACTTTCTTTCAAACCTATTTTATCTGCTATTGTACTGTTGTATTACGAAACGTACAGCTAAATGCAGTATAGGACGACATAGTGGGAGGCCTATGTCCAGTGGACGCATAATGACTGAAATGATAATGACGATGACGATGATTATGAAAATATTCTCATGTCAATATTTAGGACTCGGACTTTTTGTAGGGAACTTCGACGTGATCAAAATAATTTCTGTAAAACACTTCACGTTTACGGATTCTGTAACGAGAATTGCCTATAGATATGAGAGCCAGTGAGTCAGTTTCTTTCTATTAACTCTTCATACGACAACTTTCACATGATAAACTGAGAGATTCAATTTAAATAGATTACCACATACTGTGCCAAATAAAGTGAGTATCCAGCCACGACGTTTGTAAAAGCAGAGTTTGTGACATTGCTGTGATCCTCGTCTGGTCCCATCACACCTACAAACAAAATAAGAATCATAAAAGAAGTAGGTGAATTAAAACATTAAGTACATAAGAGTATGAAATGTAATTACTTTCAATGTCGTACAATCCAGTATTGAAATTTATTACAGCCCGTGAAGCCCAGAAGTCTGCGATGTGAGTCACGATGGAACAGCCTCCTTGCTGAAAATATACAGTAAACTTAAAAATAAATATCAGAAGACACTATTTAATTTATACCTAGTTATTAAATAGTAAGCATGGGTAATATCCGTACCGCTCCGATATCTACAGTGAGTGTAGAAAGTATTCGTACACCTAAGGTTGTAATAAAAAAAATACGAATTTGATAGACTTTCTTTTATTTATCTAATTTAAATCAATACTATTAAATATTTTAACATTCCCGCACTTTGTTTATGATAATTTTTGTTTTTTAATAAAAAAAATTATACAACATAAAAATATTTTTACGTTAACTAAGCAAATAATGACAAACAAAAAGTATTCGTACACTTATAAAATTTGTAAGTAAATGAATATTAAAAAAATATTAATACTTTGTTGGACCACCGTTAGCATTGATGATAGCTTGGAGTCTCTGCGGCATCGAATCAACTAGTTTGAAAATATAAGAAGACGGTATTAATGCCCATTCTTCGCGAAGCGCAATTTTTAGTGTTTCTTTACTCGAAATTGGTCGATTTCGAATTTTATTATCGAGATAATCCCACACATGCTCTATAATATTAATATCAGGTGATTGAGGAGGACTCTCTAGGTATTTTGGAGCGTTAAACAGGATCCATGCTTTAGTACTCCATGCTTTATGTTTAGGGTCATTATCTTGTAAAAATATCCAATTATTGTTAAAACCCATTTGAGCTGCACTAGAGAGACGATTCTCTTTTAAAATATTAATATACGCTTTATGATCCCTAATTCCATCAATAAATGCAAGTTTTCCCACCCCAAAAACACTCATGCAACCCCATACAAATACTGACCCACCACCGTGTTTTACCGTTGGACATAAATTTTCTTTCTTATATTCCATATTAGGTTTTCTCCATACCATATGATGCCCATCCGATTTGAAAATATTATATTTCGATTCATCTGAGTAAATAACAGTTTGCCAAAAATGATTTTTTCATTAATATATTTTTTTGCGAATATCTTTTTTTCTATTAATATCATTTACCCAATACTTTTTACGCGCAGTTCTTCCATGATAATCGTTACTACGTAATACGTTCCGAACGGTACTGACAGAAATATGGCAATCATTGATATTATTAATTTCTTGTAACACTCGAGGGGCACTAATTTTTGGATTTTTTTTTACACAATAAAATTTTCCGATCCAATCGAGGCGTATTTTTGATGGACGCCCCACCTCTGGGTTTGTTTTTTAGTGTTTTAGTAATAGAAAACCGATCAATTACAGTCTGTACGGTTGAACGTGGTCTATTGACAAATTTTGCAATTTCACATAATGATTTGCATTGATTATGCAAATTAATAATTATTTTTCTCTCCTCTTCACTCGTTTCTTTTGCTTTACGACCCATTTTTGTAACTAAACACGTCTATACTTGTCACGAGCGCAACTAAAACGTCTAATATCTATACCTACGTATTAAAAATGACCTTGGCATTGTAGGCATATGAAAAATTCGATTGAATAAATGATTTATACAGAATTTCATTTAAAAAAGCATGAATGTACGAATACTTTTTGTTTGTCATTATTTGCTTAGTTAACGTAAAAATATTTTTATGTTGTATATTTTTTTTTTTAAAAACAATAATTATCATAAACAAAGTGCGGGAATGTTAAACTATTTAACAGTATTGATTTAAGTTAAATAAATAGAGAAAAGTCTATCAAATTCGTATTTTTTTTATTATAACCCTAGGTGTACGAATACTTTTTACACTCACTGTATATATTGGGTTTCACTGGAAATTGATGGCGGAAAAAGGTCATCGTCTATACCAGCCAAATATCTCCATTCGTTTGAATTGGGTGCTAAATTTCAATATTGGATTTTATATTGGACTACCAATATATAACATATCTTTTATCGACCCAATATGTAGATATTGTAACTATAATATATAGATATATTGTATATAACTCATCTCTACTAAATAGCAATTAAGTTATGGGCCCATCAATTTCAAGTTACTAACCGTCGCCAATAGACAAAAACAATGCCCATAATAACCAATGATGCATTACAATTCTAAGGACTAAGAAGTTATATTCCATATGAAACATTAAACTAACATTCAAGTCAATATTCTTTCAGAACTAAGCTGAAAATAAATAAGCAGTAACGAATAAATTTTGATTTATTCGTTTCATTCTACCATTTAAATGATTCCTTATACATTATTCAAACACTATGAAAATATACTCGTACCTTTAACCATTCCTCGTCTCTTGTGGTGGCCAGGTATTGGCGGGCTGCGTATGATATGCATCCTGTTATGTGTTGCTCGAACTCTGCTACCTCTGGACAGCACGGTTGCGTGACTTCGGTACCAGTGTATGCGCTCTCCCATGGAAACCTTAGCAGATAATTGGAAATCAAACATACGAATAGATTCTCTTTGACAAAAGGATGATAAGAATATAGCTCCTCTTAATGATATGAAGATAAGTCTGCAGTCTTATATACCCCTAAGATATTGGACATGATCATATATTTTTTTATACCACTGAGGTGGCAAACAAGCCCCACCTGATGGTAAGGGGTTACCGTAGCCTATGAACGCCTGCAATACCAGGGGTATCACGCGCGCATTGCCGACCCTGAAGAAACCTCTTTACCTCCCTTTTGAAGAACCCCATGCTGTAGTCTCTTGGGAAAACCTCGGCAGGGAGCTCATTCCGTAACCTGAGTGTTCGTGGGCGAAAACATTTCTAAAACCGCGTTGTATGCAACCATTTAGGCTTTATTTATTATTATATTCTACAGAATACTAGATAGTTTTCTAATTTTTTATAATGGGTTCAAGTCCAATTCGTTCCCGCCTATCTTTTGGAATGCTAATTATTTTTTTTTCTAATTTTATAAATGTGAAAGTGAGTGTTTTTGTTTATTACCTGTGAACGCCTTAACGGCCTAACCAGTCACTATGAAATTTGATGTGTACGTATCATATAAGATGTTATGAACATAGGCTACTTTTTATCCCGCTCACGCAGATAAAGTCGCGAGTGAAGTAATAAATTTATATCATAAGATGTAATATGTTACAAGGTATGAATATTTATTTTTAATCTTTAAGACGTTGTAAAAGATGGTGAAAGATATAAAGTAGGATACAACACTATAAGAGAAGGAAAACTCAAAATACCGAATTGACTGGCTAGCATGGTATGGTCAATGGTATATGGTTAATATTCTCCTATTATAAGGAAAGGTTCCTTTCCAATAGTGAGACGTTTATATGTCAAATTTATGTGACGAAGTAGTACTGTAGATCTTCTGGAAGGTCCACGCATCATGTTCGGTAACATGCCACTAATTTTTACCCGTGACTTCCTCCGTATGATGCGTATACACTGACCAGGAGAAGAGAGAATGGAAGAGGTGCATTCCATTTAGTACGTGTGCACCAAATTTCTCAGTGATTGATTAAGCTATTAAAGCTTTAAGAGGTAACAAACAAACACACTTTCATATTTATAATATTAGAAAAAATATCAAGTTACGACATCACCATCGGCGGTATAAATAATACCTTCGCTTATCTACCTTAGAGCTCTACGCCCTAGCTGTGGGAGGTTAATTAATCTTGGAATATGACATTTAAATTTTATTACTTACGTTCGGTAGATAATCTATGGTAATAACAATCAATATCTAATCAATTACGATTATAACGATAACAACTAAATATAATGAAATCTTTGTTGTGAAAGGAATCGGTCATTTATTATCGAGCAACTTGTTTTTATTGGGGATTAAATCGTCAACTATTTGATGTGACTATCATTTCACTTGTACCTATTTTTACGTAAGTATGTATGTATGCAAAATAGAGATACAAGAAGAAAACTACTAGAAGGGGGTTTAAATTCCAAAATTCAAATCATCCATCAGATCATGAAATATTTGGGCTTTTAGTTTAACGTTTTTAATAGTTATAATAATCTAAATATTGATTATATATAATCTATATATATATATATATATATATATATATATATATATATATATATATATATATATATATATATATATATATATATATATATATATATAATTATATATTTAATTATATATATTATAGTAGTAGTTGTATAATAGATATTAATTGATTTTTAAGCGTATTTTAAAGCAGCCAGGTTATAAATTTTTCTTTATTCTTTTATATATCTTCTCATTTGTAATCAATAAGATTCACTCATGTTAGTCCCAAATTAATTTGGATAGGATTTATTCCAATCTTTCTTTGTTAAACAAAATCTGCTTGTTTCAGTTTTATGCAATTTGGTCTGATGCAAATGTAGATGTTGATGTATGTAGATGTAAATGTTGATGTTATGAAGTACATATAACTAGCTCTTTTCCCTCAACTTCGCCCCCGTGAATCAACATATAAAGTATCCTGTATTAAGTTTTTACTTAATATTAGCATATAACTTATATATTTAAAGGAATATAGTTAGAATACAGCATAAACATATATCAAATATCAATCAAATCTATTTAGCGCAAAAGAGTAACAAACATCCACTATTACATGATAAATTTACGATTATTATTATAATACTATTATTATTTTATAAGTTTATTCGTTCTCTTTTTGATATTTTAATGGCTCGATTAGCCTTCGTGAAATGTGCTTACATGTAGTAGTTTTTTTAATGGGTGATAATGTAATGTTAACGCCACTGCACTATCGATATACGCTGGCGGGACTCCAGTGATGATGAAAGCAGGTCCGTAAGTTCATCGTGACGATTTTCACTAGTCATTTTTTTTATACCACTGAGATGGCAAACAAGCATACGGCCCACCTGATGGTAAGTGGTTACCGTAGCCTATGAACACTTACAATACCAGGGGCATTACGCGTGCGTTGCCGATCCTGAAGAAACCTCTTTACCCCCCTTTTGAAGAACCCCATGCTGTAGTCTCGTGGGAAAACCTCAACAGGGAGCTCATTCCACAACCTGAGTGTTCGTGGGAGGAAAAATCTCTGAAACCGCGCAGTACGCGACCATTGAGGCTGTAGGACATGAGGATGAACTCCCTGTCGATGGCGAGTCGTACGATGGTAGAAAGTGGCTGTGGTTCGATAGTTTCCAAGGGAAACCGCGTGGAAGTCGATCTAATAGGGTGTATTGTCAGTAACGAAGAAATTAGACCCCATTACTAATAATCCCTTTCGCCCTTTCATGTAATACTTAGCACCAAAACGTTTGGTTACCTTTTAAGAAAGCTAGATGCACAATCTAAAATAATCCTTACTAATCTACTCATATCATATAAATGAGACTGCTGAGCGACTGACTGACTAACCCATATATAAATGCATAGCCGAAACCACTGAATCTAGAATCCTGAAACTTTGCAGATAGATTCTTTAGTCTTTAGTAATATTATAAATGTGAAACTGAATTTGTGAGTTCGTTTGTTTGTTACCTCTCGGTACTTCATTGGCTTAACCGTTAACTATGAAATTTTGTACAATAGTACTATTAAGGATGAAGAAGAATATAGGCTACTTTTTGTCTCGGTTAGTGAATGTATCCCGTGCATGTGGACGAAACTATGGGTAAAAACTAGTTTAGAATAAAAGTTTCACCTGTATCCCTTGTTGCCGGTGATCTTAGCGAGCTCAGCGGCCACGTAGGCCATATCCAGTCGATACTGGAGCAGGTCATGGGCATACCGAGGGTACAGGAGCAAGATAGATGGAAACATCCAGAATTCCGTATCCCAGAAGTTGTGTCCTGGAATGGAAATAAGTTGGACTCTTACCGTGATATTTTTTTATCTTTCTAAATAAATAAATATTAACATCCCCATTACTAACAATCCCTCTCCCCCCAGTAGACTGCAGTAAGCTCATTATGATGATAATGATAAATTGAGATACCTTCATAGTCGTCGAGCAGTGAACCCCCTCTCGCTAGGCCTGTTGGGCTGAGACCGTAGTACTTCTCTGGCGGGTGATAAGTGTGCTGGGACGGCAGTGAGCTCAAATAGTAATACCAGATTCCATTTACTATTTTAGACTGTAATATAATGAACACTATTTAAATAAAACCGTTTAAAAATATAATTATTGTCATACATAATAATATATACTTATTATTATTATTAATAAATAACCGAAACTAGCTACAACCCAGAATATTTACATATAATATTTCATGTATGGATAATCTAAATGATTGGAAACTGTACGAGAACATAGTAAATTATATTATAATGAAAGAAAATTATTTATACGTATTACATTACAGTATTATATTACAGCTCTTCAATTTAAATTAAATGTTAACCGTTCCCGCCATTTTTTCAGTCCAAACCCACAGTTACAGAAAAAGTAATCACTATTACTTATTCTTTAACTGTGTGTTATTTAAGAGTTGGTACTGTCCTTATGTTAATGAAATTTGGTAATAAATCTATGCAAACATTTATAAATATTTACATAGTAAAATGGATAAATCTATATACTATCGAACAATTACTTATTATACAACTCTATCCGAAATATCAATATTGATAGGTATCATACTATTATGATAGGCTGAATTTTTTATAGTAGGTAAAAAAATTTCAAATTCAAAGAACTGAACAAAAAAACATGAACGAAATCTACATACATAGATTTCGCAAATGTTTTTTTTTAACAAAGTGATGCTGATAAGCGATGATGTATAAAACCTATGTGGGTATAAATAAAAAATACTTCTTAATTTAATTTTTAACCTGCTTCAAATTTAGAACGTACAATAATTCTTGCCAGTATTGTGCACAATTATTATTTGAATTTGAGAAGAACTTTTTTTTATTTATTAACATCTTTATCTTTAAGAAAAATAAAAGAAGTCACTTACCAAATGCAGATTTCCTTCGATGTGGACACCAGCCTGATGGTACAGAGATTTCCAGTGGTCCACGTGCTTCTTATATAATTCTTCGCCGTCCTGCTGTAATACTTTAAACATTTACCATAAACGGATAAGTATCGGAGGTAATGGGAAAAGTTCAAGTTTATAGATAATTTTCGATTGACGATAAGTATCTGAGAGATAGATAACAATATATCTTCTTCAGTGAGAATAAAATTAGGATAGACCCAAGACAAAAGTAAAATCTACAATATGATGTTCTATAATAATATAAAGTTTATTTAAACAATATGATACATTTGCTAATTCTGAATCGATTTTGATAATAATGTATTTAATCCATAAAATTTACATGTATATTAATTTTCTCACAAACTGCTTAACTGCTTATTTAATAAATAAAATATAGTATAAAAAATTTAATTACTAAATCTTAATTAAATTTTTTATACTATTTTGATATAAATATTTGTGGGTCGCTCTATAAAATGTAACATACGTGTATAATATTATAAATATAAAAGCGAATTTTTTTTTTTTATATAACTTACAATGGCAAGCTGAAATGTCCATCCGATGGAAAGTGATAACCGTTGCCTATAGACATGAACATTACCATGGACATAACACGGTATACTGTGTCGTTACTCCTGAAAATTAAGGTATTAAGTTTCCGTATTCTGTAATTTCAGTGTCATATCCCACCCTTCAAACCAAAGCAAATCCATATAAACAACTGCTTCACGGCAGAAATATAAAGAGGACATAGGTACCCAAGCACAAATATTTTATACAAAGCAAATACCCGCTGGTGCTCTTTGTTTGTTAAGCTATAGCTCCTTATCGACTTGAGCAATCACTATGAAATTTGGTATGCATTTACTGTATAGGACAAAAGAGGATATGGGATACTTTTTATCCTGGACAAAAACATATCTCGATCGCGCGCAGGAAATCGCGGGTAGAAACTAATCTTTAAATATATACACAAAAAAAATCTCTTAGTAAATACTATTTTATCATAGTTAGCGTAAACAAAAATATAAAACGTTAAATGTCCATTACAAAAACACATGATTATACTATATCTATGAAGATAACAAAAATATGTAAAACAATCACTAACCTTCAATAAATTCCTGTCTGGCAATAGTTTTATTTTTATCCACCGTCATAACAAACGTAAAGACTTTAGAACCATGCTGAGGTACCACCAGGTAATCAGGCACTGATGTCCAATAAGCACACACGTCTACCGGCAACGGCTGATACGAGGGGTCTTCGGGATCCTTGGTAGACCCGCACGAGGACCAAATTGTACGACCGTCATAGATCTCCGGTACTGGAGTACGGAACTCTATATCTTCGCTGCTAGGTCCAGATATCTGTTTTATTGCTATCCATATTTCGTGATGAATAAAATTAGGATCTGTAAGAAATCATTTTACAATATTCTTAATTACACTAAAATGTGTACAATAATAATCACAATTAAAAATAATGTAAGCAAAGGTGAACTTATCTCTAAAATATAGTAGATCTACTTTATTTTAAAGATTAATATACTTTCAGTCAACCCAACAGTTATTTTATCAGACAAAATATTCTAACTCCAATACATAAGTTTAGGAGATTTTTTTTACATAGAACATTCTCAGAATTAATTGAAATTGAAATCATTTATTTGCAAGGTACATTTTTATAGGTGTTACTTTACAAGAAAAATAGTCCAATCTTATTCTGCCATACTGTAGGCGTGCAAATATAAAAACTTATTAAACAAAACATTAAAATAATTTTATCATAATAACATAAACATTTGCAATAATATTTTGTATAAGACAAATCTATTAATATCATGATAAAAATTATAATTTATCTAATAAAAATTATAATTTATTTTATAATTAATATAATATAAAAATTATATTAATTATAAAATATATATATATATATATATATATATATATATATATATATATATATATATATATATATATATATATATATATATATATATATATATATATATATGCTAGAAAGTTATAGAAAAACGCCTACTTAGAAACGAATAGCAAACAGTATTTCTCGGTACTTAATCGTGTATAATCACAGTAACAGTGAGATGCGGTGATGAACTGCGGTGAAGTGATAGTTTAGGCTTAAGAAATAAAGTACAATATTTATTTTATTGCTCAGCACAATTATTCAAACACTTCTTGTGCCAAAAGCTACCGTCTTTTTCTATTTTTTGTTATCTACAGGTAGCTTTAACGATAAGTCTGTTTTATATACTTCAGAAGTGTAATATGTATATTTTTTTATATTATTCTTTAAGTTTTGCAGATAAATAAAGAAATAAACTTAGATAAATGAAAAAATCTATTTGATATATTAAAAAAAGTATATGTTTAAGTTTGTTCGTATTATGTAAACTTTACAGTTGCAGTTTGTAGTTGCATAGCATGTAAAGTATTTATTAACTCACCATGTGGTTTAGCGACCACTTGTATTTGATTCACAATAGCTCTAGTGTAAAACCTATGGGCGTATATTCTCTGAGTGACGATCGATCTATCTCGGTCGACCCTCACTTTGAAGGCGGCTTCCCTTGTATCCAAACTGTAGACTGGACGGTACGGCATGTGAGTTAGCGTCGAGTTCAACCGTATGTTGGCCCAACTGGGTATCCTCGCTCGGTGACTCTCGCCTTTTCGTCCGTTATACAATCCGTTCATGTATATTGTGTCACTAAATATGTTCGTAGCGATATGACCATTGCCGATGGAGGGCATGAAGCGATCATCTGATGGTAGTCTGTAAAAGAGATTAGGGTTGCCTTTAGGGATTTTGTCAGTAGCTGCCACACTCGGCAGGTGGATTGGCAACCGCAGTTAGGTTTTGGAAATATTTTAAGAGGGACGCTGCTGCCCATTCCTCGACCATTAAGTTCCCTTAGTTACCTCTTACGACACTCACGGAAAAGAAAGGGGTAGCCGATCTATGCCGGGACCACACAGCAAGGTCAAAAGATAAATTAGAGAAATGGCACCTCAGAATTGAGCCCATAGTTTGAAATTCTAAAAAAAAATTAACCTTCTAATATGCACGACAATATTGCATTAATAAATTTATTGAACTCAAATAGCAGGCCTGGAAAGAATAGATAGTTAGTATTGGGGAAGTTAGTGCCCATTGCTGTCAATATACCCTATTAGGTTGACCTCCACGCGGTTCCCACTGGAAACTATCGTGACAAATTTATCGTTGAATTCATAACGTTGACTGCCCTGCCTTTTCATCATCACCAATCATTCTTTACTGGTGTTCCACCAGTGTATACCTATAGCACAGGTGGATTTACTATTTCATCAATATCCATTAAAAAAAATACCACGCCTAGAATATTTTTTTGTTGCTTAAGAAACATTTTGATGCAAAAATTTATGCAGGCGCTAGTCAAACAATGTCTACTGTATATATTTGTAATTCTATTCCATTTATGTTAAAAGCAATCTCTAAATCAATAAGTATCTAAATAAGTATTGTAATATATAATTTAAGTATATAACAATATTTAATTATTAAATAAAATAATTAATTATTAAAATTAATCTTACAGGTAATAACAGAATTTTAATAAACTCGGTCTAAAGTACTATCATAATAATAATATAAAAGGCATAAGAGATAACTTCTTAAAGGTGATAACGTATGAGGGTTGCTATGGGCGATGCAGTATAGAATATAGTTATAAGAAATTTTACACTACCTTTCACATTTCATGCATATACACCGAATCCGTAGCATGTTAAATTCACTCCCAAACATAGATTAACCGACAGATTGAGTCAAATCTAGTCAGATTCTTGTTTTCTTCCACTTTCGCATTAGATGTGTGATCCGTCATGCAAGATCAAGTTGATTTCTTTAATATACTAGAATAAACAGGACTTTTTAACTTATATTAACTTACTTGTGCGTAGAAAAAATGTAAGGATCATCGCTAAAATCTTCAGTTTCATCCGAAGCGTTATCAGCAGCTAATCGATGCGCTGTTCTCGTGGACAATATTATTACAACCACGGCCGCTATTCCCAAAACACCCAACATCGCTGCGACTTGTTTGTTTCGCTTCAAAAAGTACCACATTAATACCGGCACTGCACTAACACTGGTTTTTGAAAATAGAACTGGTTTTCACCACAGAAAATTTAAATAAAGAATATTATGCTAATTTGTATGTTTTTTTTTGTTAAGTGCTAGGACATTGGTCAACGGTCAGTCGTGCACAGCTCACAGAATCACCGTACAGATTACACGACAGCCGACATATCTACTGATGTGACACACTTTATTGTTCTAATAACAATGTTATTATATTATAGGGTTGCCTTTATCTGAGCATCCTGCAGTATGACATCAGCGACAGCGCTTAATTCATTATTTATAATGAAAAGAAATAATCTTAACAGTAATTAATAGCAACATTATGGTTCAAATTCTAGTTTGCTTTCGCTATTGTGAAGTAAATTGAATAAGAAAAAATACTGTAATTTATAGTGCAAGACTACTTCATTCAAGTATTAGCTGTTACCGTGGTGTTGCTCGTGTAAACGTTTTGCGCAGGAATTAGAAAAAGCCGTTCTCTTTAAATGAATACACTACGGCACTTGCTAGTAAACGGTATTTACGATTTTGACCTAGTTTTAAAGTATTGCAATTAATTTCGGGATTGTTTTAATAGATTAAAACGTATGAAAATATTACTAAGACATCGACAGTATCACTAAAATCAGCATAAAAACTTGCATGATACTGCTATTTTTTCTAATTTAATGCAATGGATTGCAAAATTAAAGAATTATATGTGAAACTACATGTAAGTTAACTCAATATAAAATTTCCAATAAAATATTTCTTTACATTTTATGCAAGGAACACATTATCAAATGTCTTTAATGTAGGCAACCCTAAAAATAGGTAGCTAGAGTCATCGTCTAATTCAATTGTCGCTTCCTCATTGTATAAGTGGATACAACCAGTGTTTAACATGTAAGACAAGACAATACCAAGTTCTTAAGATCAAGTGAATTAATTATACTAACCTGCCTCAGTTCACTGACCTTTTCCAACTAGATAATGTTCACATAGACCACAAATTAATAATTAATTTTTTTGTCTTTGTATATTTTCTAATAATTCTTTCAATTAATGAAATAGTTTAATTGTTTACAATTATTACATAAAATTTATTTGCTAATTATTTAATAATAATAACACAATACAAATATCTAGTAAATATTATTGAAATCATTCAGACACATTTTTAATAACTTGGCAAAAAAAAATTTAAAAATTTGATAACAATTTTTAATTACTTAATGTTTACTTTTGATGGAAATATAAAAAAAAGAAAAAATCTTTATTATGATATCATAGAATTCTCATCGAATTATGATGAATTATTGCAATGTCAAAAAGGCGGGAAACGTTAAACTTGGTGGTAGAAGTCGTAAATAAAGTAGTGAATACTTACTCTGTTGTCAATGTGAACATCAGATGATTACATACTCTGTGGTGTATAGATGACAGGAATGGTTGTAAATATAACGAACGACAGCCATTAAAGATAAGAAAAAATGATGAATATTCATTGTCTTATAGGGGGTAATAGGGGTCTTGAAAATATTTGTTACCATAGGCATAGACAAGCAAGAAGAAATTCTTAACTCAAAAAAATTGGCGTAACGTTATAATTTCGACTTGATTTCTGGGTATATACAATAGATTTTAAAAGAAAATATCATTACCATATTATTATATTACTTAGTTTTTTTTTTTTTTTATTATTTTATACACGTGGATTTTAGAAGTAGGAAGATCAATAAATAGGCCACTTCCAGATGGTTTATGAAAATTAAACATTTACCAGTTTTTAAGTCAGAGGTCCAGAAACTGTAAAAACCATATCCAGTTTGGTGCAGCAGTTTTTGTGTATTGCCGAAACAAACAAACAGAGGAAACTTCTAAAAATTATTGTTTTAGTTTTTATTGCCTTACAAAGAACCCTTGTAATATTTTTCTAAATTGTCTCATGTACATCGAGTAATGGAGGGTAGCGTCCCTCTCAAAACATAACCAAAGCCTCATTGCAGTTGCCAACCCGCCTGCTAAGCGTGACCACTATTGGCAAAACCTCCCAATCTATGTGGGAGACCTATGTTCATAAGTGGACAGATAACGGCAATTATGGTCACGATGATGATCTCCCACGTGCAGACATTCTATGTATAAAATAAGCTACTACTATGTCAGTTTTTATTTTTTATATCCAAAGGTAATGAAGCAGTAAGAATAATTGACAACTGAACACAGGTTGATGGACATGATTAGTAGCAGCGTAAATGTCATGTCCAAATTGATAGGCCCCTTGTTATAAATAGTGGTGTAAACGCGCGCACGCATCAGACCGTGCCCCCCGGTTCCGCGCTGTTACTTCCATGACGTTACCGGAGTTTGGAAATGGAATTTCAATTGAAATTATGAATTAAAACGTGTCTGTTGAAATTTTTCGACTGCGGTTTGATTTATTTAAACTTACGATTGCATTCTAGTACAAAAACTACATAAAGATATTCATAAAAGATACAATTGGAACAAAATCAGTTATTTTGATTTAAAAACTAAACTACTACCTTTTGGAGGAAACAATAAATAAACCGTAATACTCAAGACACCAAACTTTAAAACTAACATGCCTCTATGCTTGTTAAGGCTTTATGAAGTCTGTATGAAGTAATATGATCCGTTCTTTCGTCCCTTCGCCTTTCCCATTATGAATACATTTATATCTAAGCTAAATTATTTACAGTTTCAGATGTATTAATAAAATATGAAAAAAAATATAAGGATAAATATTTTTTCGATAAAATAATTAAACATTGTAATCCCACAAAAAAAAAACAACTACAATTGTGACAAATTTACAATACAATACAATTTGATCTATAAATTAAACTATTGGGCCGATTTTGATAAAATTTCTATGGGACAAATTTGTAAATATATCCTTTCAAATAAAAAAAAAAGATTATTCCAAATTGGTTTACAACTGACGGAGTTGTAAAGTAACAAACAAAAAAAAATACAACCGAATTGAGAACCTCCTTTTTTTAAGTCGGTTGATAACAGAAATTCATCATGTAAACAACTTACCGACTCAAACGGTGACTGGAGCGAATAGCAATTTGCTTAATTAAAACTCTTGACTAGTTGAGAGGCTTTGACGGTAATTCTTCGGGTAACATAGCTACCTAATTGTAGGGGCTACAGTGAGATATGATTGGCTCAAGAAGCCAATGTCATTATCCGCAGAGTCACCGAGCCGTGACGCCCTCCGCCGCGCTCCGCTTGCCGCTTCGGTCAGCCACCTTCAGACTTGGAGCTTCGCGCTTCCAAATGAATCATTTCGCCTTCTTCTTGCTCAATAAATTCTTGAATAATGTCATATTTTCAAAACTTATACTTTTGCTATTTGCTGTAAATATTAGTGTATTGGTATGTTATAGGTACCTATACTGCCTACCTTTACATCCACGAGGGAAAAAAACTTTCATAGTTTTACAAGAGTTTATATAGATCTTCACGAGTCTTTTTCGGTAAAACAGCGAAAAGTATTTAATCGCTTTCATTTGTTTTCCAAATGAGGTTATCAAATCGTCTGAATTTTTTATGACCAATATCTTCTTCAATTTTAATGGTTCTTTTTACCCCTTTAATCCCATGTTAGTCCCCAGACTAAAATATCGGGTACCAAGGTTTATAATCCAATTAAGTACTATAAAAATCAGGTTTATATATCAATTGAATAAAAAAAAAATAAACAAGCATGCAACCAACGCGTGTCTGTCAATATAATCTAAGATATCTAGTACGATAATATAAATGTAGAAAATTTTACTTAAACAAGATTAAAAAAAAACGAAAATTTCTCAATATTGTATCATTATTATTATTAATTGTATTTGCATGAGTGTATTTTCGGTTTGAAAAATGGGATACGGCAATGAAATTAGTCCTCACGAATGGCAAAGCATGAAAGGTATCATGGGCGACACAGTATAATCTATTATGTCCATGATACTGTGCAGCATTAGCTTATTTGTCCTTATAAATTTCATAAAAAATCTATTATTTTTTTCATGGACTTTCAAAACATGATTTCTTTTCATATGAATTTGTCTTTGTTTTTTTTTCGGTTTCTCTGTTTTCAAGTCAGAATACCCATAGTGAATAATTTGTATAAGCTACTAAATCCAATTTACTAAGTATACAATTCAAGTATGATACACGAACGGTCCGCAACGGCTGGATGCCGTAGCGCGCCGTCTTCTATCTAAAATGTCCGCTTTAAATTATTTGTAATAAGATTCCAAATATATTCATATTTCAATTCATCCAATTGACAGTTCTGTATATAACTACGCAAAATAAATAGGCAATTAATATTAATTAATTTACTAGTTACTTTTTCAATCATTCTTATTAATAAAGTTCGAATTTCGAGTTATACACGTAGAAGCACGTAAATAAAAGATACTTATTGTAAATTCGCCTATTATTTCTAAGTTGCATAGAAAAAATATTAATCCGCAATAAGCAATCAACCTCATCACCTTTCTGTTATTGAGTAAAACCAGAATAATAAGAATTCAATAACTCTATTACAATGTAAGAAGTCATAATTAAGATTGTGTTTCACAATAAATAAAAACTACTTCAGTTCTGGCAAAATCAGTTATTTTGTTTTAAACAGTAAACTATGGGGGGGAAAAGGATTGTTAACAATGGAGTTTGACAGCCCCATTGCTAGCAATATGCCCTATTAGGTCGACCTCCACGTGGTTCCCCTGGAAACCAACGTGAACAATTCTTGTTGAATTCGTCACGATGGCCCAACTGACCTGCTTCTTCCTCACCTATCATCCTTCACTGGTGCCCCGCCAGCGTATCCCGATAGCGCAGGCGGGGTTACCATTCCATTATCAACCATTAAAAAAAGAAAAAAAAAACAGTAAACTATGAACCGGTTTTGATAAAATTTCTATGTAACCAATCTGTAAGTACGAGTATATCCTTTTAGATAAAAAAAAAATCCAAGCGGTTTACTGAAAAATAGTTAATCTAACTCTTGGCCACATGTTTATATAAATTTAATCCTTTGGTAATAATAATATTAAAGTATAATTATATTTATATGAAAAATTTATAAATAATATAATGTTAATTTTCCTACTAAACGCTTTATATACTTAATATATATAAACTTTAAATGCTACACTTGTAAGAGTA